AGTTTTGATCAGTGATAGAACATCTTTCTTGGGCATGTATTTCATGAGGAATATGTTTCTCATGTATAAAATTCAGATTTCCTTGAATTTCTTACAATTCATGTTTACGAATTTGGGTTATAGTTAATCTCATTTGTTTACATCTCTCAAATGTGTTCGCGTTCATTTTACTGGAAAATGGCAAGTTCATCAAAGAAAAAGGCATATTGAAGCCCGAAAGATGTAGAAATTTTTTGTAATTTGTGAATTGAACAAAATGAAATAGGCAATTGACCTGCAAGCAGACAAAAGATGGATGGACAGTCATAATTAACAAGTTTGAGGAGCTAAGGGGAAAAAAGTATGATAATCAAATGAAGAGCAAGTGAGATAATCTTATGGATGAATGGAAAAGAAATGAAAGTAATTGGTTCAAAAGGCAACGGGACTCGGATAGGATCCAATGAAGAAACCATTGATGCCAATAATGCATGGTGGGAGAGGAAAATTCAAGTATTTCTCTTCTTTTCTTACTTTTTTATAAGTTCATCTTTTATGATACAACTCACGAAAATGTCATATTAAAATAGGCCAATCCTAAGCTCAAAGAGTGATAGGGGGATCTCTACAAGTGCTCCAGTTTGGTGCAAGCTTCAATGGTATGAGGCTGATATTGGGTGGGGGAAGCCAAAATGGCTGAACTTGACAAGTGGAAAGAGGTTGAAGAACACCGAGGGTCCTCATAGATGCTAGAGATGATCATGGAATGGAGGCAAGGTTGATACTAAACGAAGAGGAACGGCACTGTTGGGTCATGATCAAGAGCTGTTGGAATTTGCTTGCTTGTACTCTTGTGTCATGAAACGGTCACCATAATATGTATGTCAGACAGAGTATTTATAGAAAACTTTGGTAGCATGTTCTTCGCTTTTGTTGATCTACTTTTGGTTTGTGATCAAGTTGGCGATCCAACCCCGTGATCACTGTATTGCATATGCATAAGTACCGGTGACATCCTTGTTGTTATTAGCTAACGGTGCCCGCTATAGTACATCGACGTATCATGCCATGACTCGTATAATTTAGCCGTTCGACGCCAAATGCTTGTGGAGATCAAATTGGTGAAAATGCTAGTGACTTACTTCAAAGGGTAGATACCTATTGAATCGGTCATGCCACAACAGACATTCCATTTCCCTTTTATTCCACTACAGACAATATGGAGAGGTATCCTCATATTCTTTACAATAACAAATGGGCCATATTTTGGACTCATTCGGCCCATGTTCGTCTCATGAGCAAACCTTCGGAAGGCCTTTGAAAAGGCTATGGCGGATCCAACAAAGGCCCGTTTTTACATAAAAGCCACGTCATCCAAGGCAGCTACATCCTTATCATAACATAAAGCTTAGATTTTTTTTGCTTTGTAAAATTGAAATATGTATTTTTGCATAAATTACCCGTTAAATTATATCGAATTTCATACAAATCTTCTTTTAGAACAAAATAAAGATGAAAAATTTAATTTAGATTTCATATAGATATAAAACAGAGACTCAATAACAGTTATGAAATAATTAATAGGAAGAGTTACGAAAAATATTCAATTCTCAATAATGGCTAATTTGCATCATTAAAGTTAACATGGGTTTTTTGTTAGATAAGGCTCATGATATTATATAGGCAAGTACAAGTCCTAATAAGAAGCAAAACAAGAAGAGAATACAAGAAAATGCTCCTTATAAATTAAGGACATCGCTATTTCCGTCTATTATATGACTAAATCCACCTAACTTTTATCAAAAAGAAAAAACCACCCTCTGGTGACCCCAACTTTATTTACTTTCCTCCTTTTTTTTAATAAATTTTCAATTTACATTTTTAGTTTTTGTTTAATGTGAGTATCCCATGTATATTAAAGGCACTATATTTTTTCATTGTTAGATATTACTTCCATAAAAATTCATTTTATTGAAAAGAGAAATTTCTAAGAAACCTACTTCTTTTTTACTTTGTCAAGCAAGATAAATTGTCAAGTAGAAATTATAGAAAATTTAACATAGATAATTTTTTAACACTATCATTTGTTTATAAACTTTCACTTCTGTTGTGTATTTGCTTTTATATAAATATACATAAAATGGGATAATTGGATGAAGCTAAAATAAAAATCCTCTTTGAAGATTTTCCAAAATAAAGTCACAGTTACATCCTCCAGCATTAAACTTTAAAAGATGAAAGTTGATTAAATCAAAACATTGCATAAAATATGGAAATTTTTTCCATTAATGCCAGTGAAATCTCGTTATTTTGGATTGACAAAAATTAAAACCATCCATAAAGTATTTACGGAAAAAAAATCAAGAGGCCTCATTGTGCGTAATGTTTTTAGTGTACTCCTAATGTCTTACATGTTTAGTGTAAAAGTATCTCGCCATTAGTAAGGAAAAATGATACATTCTTTATTATAAATAAAGAGAGTTGTTTGACCAAAAAAAATAAAGAGGGTTGATATATTTTTTAAACTACTGAAATTGAAAAATAAAAATGGGTTAAACCAAAGCTAACTAAACACATTTACCAAACTATTTTTTAACCATAAACAAAAAATAAAAAATTCACCAAGAAAGTGAAAGAATGTGTGACAATTTTACCCTGAATTAAAATTTTAATATTATTTTTATTTTTTTCGACTTTTTACTTTTTATTTTTTTTCTTTATCTTCAACCTCTGGCCGGTGTGCAAAACGGCCGTGGGGCCGCTGCCTGACCGCTTAAATCAAGAATCACCTGGACCCGCGCTCCGTGCGCCGCAGTCGAGTCATGCGGGCGACCCCTGATCGAATTGGTTCCCGAGTGTCAAAAATAAGAGAAATGTCACAAGTGTATCTAGTTTTTTCGTGGTATTAACCCAATAAAAAATTCACCAAGAAAGTGAAAGAATGTGTAAGTTGTTATAAGAACTAGGTGTAAACGGACTACTTAAATCAAGAATCACTGACCGACGATTGGTTCCCGGAGTGTTTCGGTTTCGGTTCCCAAGGGGGAACGGGACCTGACCGGACTAGACCGACTACGTATACTTTTTTATTTTATTTTTCATATTTTAAAAAAAAATTAGTAGAATGTGAAACTTCATTGATATAAATTTATTAACAAAAATTAGTAAAATGTGAATTAAACCCTAAGTAACCGGTTCCATTGGATCATCCGGTCCACGGTTTTCAATTTTGGGGACCGAAACCGATCACCCCTAATAAAAATAAGGGAAAAACTACAAAAAACCTCAAACTATACCCATTGTGACACATTTACCCCAAACTTTTTTTGTGACACCAAAAACATCAAACTATGCACATTATGACACATTTACCCTCCGTTAAGATTCTGTTAAAAATCTCCATTAAAACTCTGACGTGACGCTCGCTTGGCGCCACACCAAAAAAAAATTCAAAAAATTCAAAAAAAGTCACTGTTGATCGCAAGTTACTGTTTATCATCTTCGAAGTTACCGTTCATCGTCTTCTCGCTAGGCTAGAGCTCTTCCGGAGCTTGTCCGTCGCTACCCACTAGACCTCCGGGAGCTTCGTCGTAACTACTGACCATGGCGGCCGCGAGCTCGAAGCTTGGCCAAAGTGGATCTTCATCTGGAGCTCCAGGAGCTTCGTCGTAGCTGCCGACCATCGAAGCTTGGCCATGGCCGCTCCGCTCGAGTTTGAAGCTTGGCCATGGCCGCTCCACTCGAAGCTTGGCCAAAGTGAATCTTCGCCTAGACCTTCGGAAATTTTGTCGTAGCTTCTAACCATGGCAGCAGCAAGCTTGAAGCTTGGCCATGGCCGCTCCGCTCGAGCTCGAAGCTTGGCCATGGCGGCCGCTCGAGATCGAAGCTTGGCTGAAGTGGATCTTCGCCTAGACCTCCGGGAGCTTCGTCATAGCCCCTGACCATGGTAGCCGCGAGCTTGAAGCTTGGTCATGGCTGCTCCGCTCGAGCTCGAAGCTTGGCCAAAGTGGATCTTCGCTTGGACCTCCGGAAGCTTCATCGTAGCTACCGACAATGGCAGCCGCGAGCTCGAAGCTTGGCCATGGTGGTCGCTCGAGCTCAAAGCTTGGCCGAAGTGCATCTTCGCTTGGACTTCTGGGAGCTTCGTCGTAGCTGCCGACCATGGCGGCCGCGAGCTCGAAGCTTGGCCATGATGAAGAAGAGGAAGAGCTCGAGCAGTTGCCATGGCCAAGCTTCGAGCTCGAGCGGAGTGGCCATTGCCAAGCTTCGAGCTCGCAGCCATCATGGTCGGCAACTACAACGAAGCTCCCAAAGGTCCAAGCGGCAGTGGTCATCGACGGACGAGCTTCGAAAGAGCTGTGGTTGAGCGAGAAGATGATGAACAGTAACTTCGAAGACGATGAACAGTAACTCGCGATGAACAATGATTTTTTTCTAATGCGGTGTCATGCGAGCGCCATGCCAGCGTCACGTCATAATTTTAACAGAGATTTTTAGTGGAACCCTAACGGAGAGTAAATGTGTCACAATGTGCATAATTTAGGATTTTTTGTGTCACAAAAAATATTTTAAGGTAAATGTGTTACAATGAGTATAATTTGAGATTTTTGGTGGTCTTTTCCCTAAGAACAACAATGAAGAAGAGACTTTTAAGTTTTATACCACATCAAATAATGTCTTTTTTCCTTATCAATGGCGATACGCTCTTACACGGAACAGGTAAAACGTCATGAAAATATCTAAGAATACACTAGATTTTTTTTCAATAAATTGAAAAAAAAACATGCGAAATATTTAATTACGACAACTAGATCCTAATTAGAAAAAAAATAGGAAAAAGAAGGAATGAGACCAGTACTTTGAATTGCAATCGAATAATTATAGTGCAATCTTGTCTTTTTAATATAAATTAATCCATCTTTTGTTGGGCAGGCTTTGAGCAAAATTTTGTAGTTTTTTTTTTTTTGTAGCTGTAAAATCGAATTTCTTTCGTAAAATCAGTTGAAATTCACAGCCCCCCTGCATGAACCTTCCTCCCTCTCTCCACTAGAAATTCGTTTCAGATTACGGAGGAGGGAATCCGCAGTTAGAGAGAGAGAGAGAGAGAGAGAGAGAGGAGACGACCGCTACGACGGCGAACCAGAGAGAAACCACCGCAATCCGTCGAAACCTCAGTCGCGCGAGCTCGATTTCTCCGGCGCACATTCGCGATTCGTCTTTCGGTTCAACGCTCCCCGGCGATTTCGGCCGGAGCGAGCGAGCGAGCGAGGGAGCTTCCTATGAGCCGTTCGGCGTTCAAGTCCGTGGTGTACCACGGCTATTTGCGCCTGGGGGAGCTGGACGCGGTCCCCGCGAACGGCCGCGGCTTCCGTTTCCCCGACGACGAGATTCGGATCCACCGCATCTCCCCGATCAGCGAGAGGTGCCCCCCTCTCTCGATCCTCCAGACCGCGTCCTCGTTCTCGGTCCGGTGCAAGCTCGAGCCGCCCTCTCCGGTCGAGCAGCCGAATTTGATCAACCTGCACGCCTCTTGCTTCCAAGAATTCAAGGTCTCTGTTCGCCGACGAATCGTCCGATTTCAAATGCTGGAGAGTCGCTCTGTTTCCTTTTAGTCTTAATTGCTGATAAGAATGCTGTTGAATGTCTTTCACGTTGTTCAGAGTTTCTGGTTGTGATCAGGTCTTGCATCGTCTCTGCTGCGTGTAGTGTTTCTGTTGGTTTTCGAGAGTGTGTGAGTGAGAGCTCTGATGGATGAATCTGTTTTGGCAGACTGCTGTAGTGTTGCTTGACGAGGAAGAAATACACTTGGTGGCAATGCCTAGTAAGCAGAAGAAGTCCCCGTGCTTTTGGTGCTTCTCGGTTCCTTTGGGTCTGTACGAATCCTCTCTGGGATTGCTCAATCTACGGTGCCTCGCGATTGTGTTTGATCTCGATGAGACGCTCATTGTTGCCAACACAATGAAGTCGTTTGAGGACAGAATCGAGGCTCTTCGAGCCAGGATTGCTAGGGAGACTGATTCAGTGAGGATATCGGGAATGTCATCTGAACTGAAGCGGTATGTAGATGATACAGCGCTATTGAAGCAATATGCAGACAGTGATTGTGTCATGGACAATGGAAAGATGTACAAGGTTCGGGTTGAGGAGGTCCCTCACCTTTCAGATAGCCATGAGAAAATTGTTAGACCTGTAATTAGATTGCAGGAAAAGAATATTGTCCTCACTCGAATCAATCCTGAGGTTAGAAGATACTTTTGCTGCTATTCTTGTTTAGTCTTTTACTTCCTTTATTTATTTATTTTTTATGTTATAACGTGAGCTGTCTCTAATGGAGGAACACTGGCTCTGTGGGGATAATTACTCTTTAAATTGAGGTCCTCATGCACCGTAGGCATGTGTCAGAACCAGGACTTTTTCTCTTGCATCTGGGAGAACATATAAAGGGGTTTGAAGCAGGAAATAGTTGACCATTTATTCATTTACCTTCAGAAAGAATATTGGCTCCCATTATTTAATTCATTTATCTGAAGTAGTGGCTCATGCAATAATTTTTTTTTTTAATTTGCTGGCATCTGACAAAAGCTGGGAGTTGTCATGGGCCTTTCCAGTGAGCAAAGACATGCTAAGTTCAAAGGGAAATGAGCAAGGCATGATTTATATTCAAGTGTAAACTACAATCTAGGTTATGGCTTTAAACAGAAGTCGCTGATCAAATGTTTTTGTAGATTGAGAAAGTTATGTGCATGATGGTGGGCTAACTTTTGTTGTCATCAAAATCATATCCTTTGTCCATGATTCACTATTGTGTTACTGCAGGCCGGTTTTGATTGAAGAGTTTCCACTTCTTGTTTCTATTAGCAAGGCCTCGTTGACCCAATTAAGAAAAATCATACTTACCGGATAATGTAGAATGATGATATCTTTAAGGTTCATACTGAATTATACGTATCAAGATATAGAAAGCCTTGTGGATTTCTCGTCAGCATCTTTTTTCCTTTATGCAGATCCGTGAAACCAGTGTGCTAGTGAGATTACGACCTGCATGGGATGACTTAAGGAGTTACTTAATAACTAAAGGACGTAAAAGGTTTGAAGTTTATGTGTGCACAATGGCTGAAAGAGACTATGCTTTGGAGATGTGGAGGCTTCTTGACCCTGAAGCACGCCTAATTAATAAAAAACAACTCTTGAACAGGGTTGTTTGTGTCAAATCAGGCAAGTTGTCTGCTTATGTACAAAATAAGATGCTTGCAGGAGATGGTATGTGTGGAGTTGCGAGTTGATTACTATCTTATTTGTTAATAGTTTGATGGTTCGTCCTAATGCAGTAATTACTAATTTCATTAGAACCTCACATGCTGATCTGGTTATATGTGGAGTAACCAACAGGAGAATGAATATGCTAAGTCGGGGGGAGGGGCGCGATTTACCAATTTGCATATAGTGTACATTTGGGTTCTAATGGAAGAACTGTGTGAAATGGACTAAAGCCTGTCATTTTAGTTGCACATTATCCCATCTCTCTCCAGACCTAACGTGGTAGTTTCCCTATAGTCCAGATTTATGTGTGAGTGAGATGGGAGCTCTTTTTTACGAGTTGTGTTTTTGTACATACGGTTTTATGCATATGCTTAAGTGCTGGTGTAAGAAGGCCGGCAAGTTGAAGATCTGACACCTTTGTTGTTATTAACTAATAGTGCCCGCTATGCTACATTGACGTATCATGCCACAATTCATGTAATTGAGCCGTTGCCAAATTCTTAAGGAGATCAAATTGGTGAAAATGCTAGTGAATTACTTCAAAGGGTAGATACCTATTGAATCAGTCATACAACAATAGAAATTCCATTTTCTTTTTATTCTACTATGAAAATTATAGTTATCTTAACAGAAATCATATAAATGACCAATGAGGTATAGTTGCTTTCCTTTTATTCTCACTTCCAAGTTTGAACACTTTTGCTGTTGCCTAGCATGTCTCTTTTTGGCACGCTCCTTGAAGATTTGAACAGTGGCCCACTACTACATGCTTGGGCAATTTATTGCTTTTTGTTATAACATCCAAGTTTATCCGCTCCTAACCTCATGTATATATCTTTTAAGCTCATTTTTGCTTTATCGCTCACTTGATGAATGCATTTTTATGGGTTGCCATCTTCAAAATCCACCAGCATAGATTGACTTCATAGCTAATAGAACACGTTTGATTCCATTGCACCATATAACTTGCTTGTACCCCTCTCCCCCGCCCTCTCCCCACGCCAGACGACTTAGTTTTTTGTTTTTCTCTCTAGTCCAGTACATATGCCGGTATTTGCATGTTTTTTACAATTAATTTAAGGTTAATTGAATATGCTTGTCTCTTTCACCCAGAGATCGTAACCGGAATTGGTGATTAACGCTTGACTCAGCCTTCTGTTTCCATGTTTCATAATTTAATCAAAGTTAGAAGAGAAAGTACTGTGCAGATAGGATTAGTATATCCCACCCTTATAGGAGCAATGTCCTCACTTGTAAAAGTTTTATGTGACTATTCAGCAGCTTTTTCTGAAGAGGCAGGACAATCTATGTAGTACACATGGAATGAGATCCTAATATTGAATGCATGTGTTCCTTAGTACAGATTATAAATAATGAGGACCTTTTTATTGCATGAATTATGTTGCTTGTGGAAAGTTTATTTAACCGAACAAAGCATGGATTTAGATTCAGTGGAGTTGATCAAATGGCATTGGCGTCAGTTAAGGGGATTTGTTACATGTGTACAGACTTACTAACATTTGTTTCGGATATTTATTGGGTTTTATGATACCACCTCCACAGTCCCGCTAACTTTATTCCACCTGGCTTTGTAACCTTTTCTATTAGATTTTCTTTCTTGTTTCATGAAGTTACATAGTTACATCTTGATTAATGATTCAAGTATGCCACCTTTTGATTGCCTGTTATCTCTTCTAACTACTAGGATGTCAGTTCTATTACTTAGGCAAATTGTAGTGAGCAACTGTTCCTCATTTTCACATTGCTACTCAACTTCCTTCTTTCTCAGCAATATCTTATTCATGCATAATAATAAATGCCAGGTTCAAGGAAATCATGCTTAACACGTGTTGAAAGGACTAAAACCGGTCATTTTAGTTGCGCATTATCCCATCTCTCTCCAGACCTAACGTGGTAGTTTCCCTATAGTCCAGATTCATGAGTGAGGGAGATGGGTTCTCTTTTGTACGAGTTGTGTGTTTTTACATATGGGTCTATGCATATGCTCAAGTGCTGGTGTAAGAAGGCAACCGAGTTGAAGATTTGACATCTTTGTTGTTATTAGCTATTAGTGCCGACTATACTACATTGACGTGTCATGCTATATTTCATATAATTGAGCCGTTGCCAAATTCTTAAGGAGATCAAATTGGTGAAAATGTTAGTGAATTACTTCAAAAGGTAGATACCTATTGAATCGGTCATACCACAATAGACATTCCATTTTCTTTTTATTCTACTACAAACAATATAGTTATTTTAACAGAAATCATCTAAATGACCAATAGTTGCTTTCCTTTTATTCTCACTTCCAAGCTTGAATGCTACTGCTGTTGCCTAGCATGTCTCTTTTTGGCATGCTCCTTAAAGATTTGAACAGTGGCCCACTAATGCAGCATGCTTAGGCAATTTATTGCTTTTCATTTTCATTATAACATCAAAGTCTATCCACTCCTAACCTCATGTGCTTATCTTTTAAGCCAATTTTCGGCTTATTGCTCACTTGACGAATGCATTTTTATGGGGCTGCCATCTTCAAAATCCACTAGCATAGATTGACAACATGGCTTGATCGATTGCATCATATAACTTGCTTGCGCCCCCTCCTCCTCCCCCACTCGAGCGCGTTGGGTGACTTAGTTTTCTGTTTTTTATCACCAGCGCAGTCCATATGCAGGTATTTGCATGTTTTAACAATAACTTCAAGGTTAATTGAATATGCTTGTCTTCTGTACCCAGAGAGATCATGACTGGAATTGGTGATTAATGCTTACCTCAGCCTTCTGTTTCTGTGTTTTATAATTTAACCAAGAACTTAAGAGAGAAAGTACCACGCGGATAGGATTAGTATATCCTACCCTTATAGGAGCAATGTCCTCACTTGTGAAAGTTTTATGTGTTCATACAACAGCTTTCTCTGAAGTGGTGGGACAAGCTAACTAGTACACATGGAATGAGATCCTAATATTGAATGCATGTGTTCCTTAGTACAGACTACATAAAATGTGAACTTTTTTATTGCGTGAATTATGTTGCTTGTGGAAAGTTTATTAAACTGATCAAAGCGTGGCTTTAGATTCAGTGAAGTTCATCAAAAGCATTGGCGTCAGTTAATGGGATGTGTTACATGTATTCAGACTTACTAACATTGTGTCGCATATTTATTGGGTCTTATGATACCGCCTCCCGCAGTCCCACTAACTTTAGTCCACCTGGCTTTGCAACCTTTCTATTAGATTTTCTTTCTTGTTTCATGAAATTACATAGTCTCATCTTGATTTAGTGTGCCACCTTTCGATTCTTATCTCTTCTAACTGCTAGGATGGTAGTTCTATTACTTAGGCAAATTCTAGTGAGCAACTGTTCCTCATTTTCACATTGCTACTCAACCTTCTTCTTTCTCAGCAGTACCTTATTCATGCTTAATATGTTATGAATGCCAGGTTCAAGGAAATCATTACTAAATGTGTTGCAGGATGGTAACTGCCATCCCAAGATGGCAATGGTGATTGATGACCGCTCAAAGGTCTGGGAAGACAGGGATCAACCACGAGTGCATGCACTTCCTCCATTTGCTCCATATTATGCTCCTAAGGCAGAGGTATTAGATCATTAATTCATTATGTCTGTTCCAGATAGCCTTTCATTATTCTAGTAAAAGAAAATTCCACTGAGCTTCTTTTGGTGTCTAAATGTCATTATGTCAGTCGTACTGATTTGCAAGAGAAATGGGAAGAAAGTCGCGCATACATTTAAGGATTGTTATTTTATAATAACTTTGAGGTGGATGGAAATCAAAACTCAGAAGGAAAAGTTCTCCTATATTATGTTTCATTAACAGGAGGGAGAAAGGTAACATCATAGATAGACCATTAAATAGGGCTTGCATTTGGCAACTTTTGCATGGAGAATATTAGGAACAATAATTTGCTTATATGCTTATAATAGTTTGAAACCAAAAAATTCAAACTGTAAGAAGGTATATTCAAATACGTAGTAATATTCAGTTTACCATTTTGATTCATTATAATTCATCCCGATTCCTTTTATCTTATTTCAATTGCTTCATTCTTATCAATGAAAGCGATCCTAAGTGATATATGAACGAGGATAAAGGCCACTTGTCCAAATGACCTTAGCTATATTCATTGTTCAGATTTTTCAATTTTTTTTGGCTTTTTTGGGCATGTTATTGAGGTTTCATTATGAAATAGGTTTCGCTTTGAATAATAGAAATTAAAGCATGAACACACATATTTCTTTTTGGGTATTTATCAGACTGCAAGTGCTGTTCCAGTCCTTTGTATGGCAAGAAATATAGCGTGCAAGGTCAGGGGTTACTTTTTCAAGTAAGTATCTGGATTTCAGTCAAAGTATATAAAGCCATCTACATCGGAAGATTGGATTTGAGTTGCATTCTGATGTCTATAGTGTCTGATTGAGATATGATATTTCTCATCCAGGGATTTTGATGGAAACCTCCTAAGGAAAATCTCCAAAGTATTTTATGAAGATGAGGTGGTTACTTTACCCCATTCCCCTGATGTGAGCAATTACTTGAAGTCAGAGGTATTTGAAACTGGCTTTTTCAATATGGACAAATTAGAGAAATTTGAAGGTCTGTTTAAAGTTCTCATCTATTGTTATCATTTGTCCTTAATGTCAGGGCTCTGGTTACATAACAAATGGTACTGCAAACACTCCATTTGCTGATGGAATGCATCGTGCTGAGACCGATAAAAGACTTAATCCTCTGGTAATCTTTGATATAGGCTCTGGCCACTTTTCTACTTACACATTCTTTCAAATCAGAATTTTTGGGATCCTGATTTTATCATGTATGGGTGCAAATTACTTTTTTTCATTTGCTTTCTTTGTAGGGTGAAAAGCATGCTGTTGATGTGTGTGGCATCCCCGTAAAAGAAACTCCTGATATAAAATCTGAAACATCCCAGCCAACCATTACAATAATTCCAAACATAGTTGGTCCCAGTGCTTCAGGAACACTCATGCCGTCTCAGAGTATGATTTTCCACTGATAGGAACAAAAGTATCTCCTAGGTTTCTAGTTGATATGGGGTGTGCAAGCATGCAATCTTCTGTTATGTCATAGTTTTTTTCTTCTTTTTTCCTTTTTTTTTTTTTGTAGAAACTGGTTTGCTTGGTAATCTTGCTAGACAAGATTTCAGCTTTTCGGATCAGGAACATGACATGAAAAAGAGAATTCTTACTATGAAGCATGTTCCAGATTTGAAGAATCAGGACTCTGGTGAGTCCCTTGTGCTAGATAGACCACCGGTGGAGTTACCTGCTGCCAACATTCAACCTCAAGGAGGAAGGCCTGTAGAAGAAGACTCAAACATAGGACATGTAAATTCTAGAAGTCCTAACCCTGGAAGTCAGCAATCTGGTATGGAACTTTCTTTTTCTATTTTTTGCAAGAGGGATAATTTGCACTCGCTTAGTAATTCATCTAACCACCTCGGGATTCACTTTGAGATGGTCACGGCAGTTTGGTGACTCCGCTAGGGACTAGTTAAAAGCTATAGAGGACTTAGGCTTGGTTTTCTCTTTTTGAAAACTTTTTTGTGTGATCTCATCATTGCGCGTGGAATCTCAGGTACTCCCCTAACTGTCGTTGAGATGTTTTACAGGTATGAGTTATATGGGGAGAAGCGTTTGCTAACCCTTATTTTGTAGGGAGTGTACGGATGGATGCTTTAAGTTGAAAAAATTTCTGAGGTGGTGTATGCATGATATACCATGTCGTGCATGTTTTATATGTTTTAGTATTAGACATTTGCACACACATCCTGATCCAAAACCCCGAGTTGTACTTTAGGAAGCCAACTAGGATTGTATTAAGAAGGCCGAACCCGTCTGTGAGTCGCAGGCGGTAGTGAGCCAGCTCAATCCCGTTATCTCATGGGACCCCATTTTTCCGTTGGAAAGGGAGCTTCAAGCCCCCTAGTATATCCCAACCAGTCGGCGTTGAACCTCACATGACATGTGCATGTCTTTGTGTTTTTGCTAATCTCTATTCTTGCTATGAGTTTTCGCTATTCTTTATCTCTTAGTATTTGTTTACTTTTGTCATAATTTAAATTCCTATTTCAAATAATATGTGATAATCAATCGAATGCCCTTCATGATTTAGATAAAAAGAGGAGGACCGACATCAAGATCATCTTCGCTCCCAATAGCATACTCTTGGAATGGTGGGACAGACTAGATCAAAGTGGCCACGATTACATCAGTTCGAAAATTGGAAAACTTGCGTCCTTGCTTCATGTCGAGATCCGCTTCAGTCTAGTCCAGGCATTGGCTCACTTTTGGAATCCCATGACGTCTACATTCGTGTTCGGTAGACATGAATTGGTCCCGACTATTGAGGAATATAATGTTGCAATAGGAGTTACCCCGATCACTAAACTTGTTAGGCCTCCCATCGGTTTAAAGCCCGAAAGTGTCTTGGCTAGATTTTTGAATATGAAAGCCAATGAGATAGAGAAGGTTTTGAAATCTAATCACAATAGTTGTCCAATCACCTTTTTAGTTGAACATTATGCATATCCGACTGAGCAATCAATGCGTCAGTCATCTAGGGTGTTTCTTCTAGCATTCTTTGGTTTCGTAGTTTTTCCTTATAGTAGTAAAGCCATGAATCCATTAGTTGCACATCTAGTTGGACAAGTATGTAGAGGAATGAATTTCACTAACATGATTTTGGCCGAAACTTTCTTATCTCTCACCCGTTTTAAGAAAAACGAAAGAGGAAGCTTGCATGCACCGGGTGCACTTTTGCAGATATGGTTTCTTTCCCATGTCAAAGAATTCGGTTTCCACATGGACATACATGAGATTAATGACCACACTCACCCAATCAAAAAGTTTTTGGAAGAATCGAAATCCATTCCAGAAAGGTCTTATTCCGAATGGATAAGCTTTCTAAAGAACATTGCTCCTACAGAAATATTGTGGCACGTTAGGTGGACCCGCTTTCGTGTTGCCTGTCTTACTCACCAATTGGATAATCCAGTCCCCTTAATGGGATTCACGGGGTGTACATCCTATTATCCCCTCAGGGTTATTAGACAGTACGGCGCCCTTCAGGAAAACCCACCTCCTCTAAGGTCGGACCTTTTCCAATTCGACCTCACCCAGAAGGATCTTGGTGAATCTCAACCATGCACCTACCAAACGAAAGTGGACTACATCGAAAGTGCCTGGCACGATTGTCGCCCACAGGAGATTACGTATGTTGAAGAGCTGCAAGGGCAAATGAAGGAACACCACGCATCCCTAGAGTACATTAACCGTCCAGTGGATCCCGAGTGCTTGCTCTCCATACCGGACATACCAGTGAAGCCTACCCAGGCCGCGCTCCAAGCACAAATTGAGCAGCTTAAGAGGGAGCGGGATGAGGCGCAAGCTAGTGCCTCTTATTTGGCACTGCAGAATAAGCGATTGCGCTAGACCTATCAGTGGCCTCGTTGTATCTGATTACATTTCATGTACGAAGTACGTTGAAATCAATGAAGAGGATCGTCTTTTGATGATTCGTATGGGTGTTGGATTCACACAAGCGAGTTTTAGGAAAATATTTTCTAAATTATTCATTTTTCTCGAAACAAATGGAGCCAAAGCTTAATTTCAACTGAGTATTGACCATACATCACTCAATCAACACACAAATCAAAACTGATCCATTTATAACCTGGAAATTAAGGAAGATAGACGAGGATCAAGACCATCTAATGCATATAAACATTCGGCCAAAACTAGAACGAGTTGACTGTCACCATTACAAGAACATTAAATCGCAGTGAAGACTACAATATGCCATATCCAAGTCATTTTATCGCACCATGCTAAGTTCAGAGTACTTGCTAAATTTTAAGTGCCTGAGCTCAACAAGTATGACAACACCCCCTGCCTCAATATCCACCTGCAATATTACTTGATAAAGATCACACGTTATGTTGAAAATGTGCCGCTAATGTTTCAGACCTTCCTGGACGGTCTGACTAGACCCACACTTCAGAGGTTCGTCATGGTCAGAGCAAGTACAATGGAGATTTGGAAGGAGCTATCTGACGTCTTCCTGCAGCACAAATTCAATACCGACATTACCTCCGTCCCATGAGGATTTTGCACATGCCGAGTAGAAAAAGACCGAGTCATTCAAAGTCTATGCTCAACGGTAGAGAAGATTGGCGACACAAGTTTACCTCGGATTGACTAAGAAAGAGATGATAAATTTTATTTTAGACACTGCCATTCTATTTCCATTGGCGTAGGATCAAATCGGGCTGAATATCTTATCTGCACCCGTTTAGTAATTCGTCTAACCACCTCGGGGTTTACCTTGAGAGAATCGTGACAAGTTGAAAGGCTTGAAACTGCCCTTTTCCATATTAGGAGAATTTGAGACTAGATGATGTGGTCCAAGTGCAACACAAAATGGCAATGACGATGAGTTGGCTCAGGAACACGTATGCTGCATATGCCGGTCGATTCGATATGATGAGTTCCACACCTTGAATGAGAATATGCCCTCATTGAGTCTCGCCTAGAAACATGCATGGTCTTTGCTTCGTAAGGAAAAAAGTACTCGATAGCCTTCCGCTAAATCTTCATCTTCATATGCCAACGAGTTGGAGATGTACACGAGAACAAACTATTCCAAATACTTCGATGGAGTAGGTGAAGACTACATTGATCTGAAATGGTGGGAGAGGCAAGCAAATACTTTTCCAATTCTCTCCAACATGGCTCGTGACTTACTCATCCCACAAACATCAACGGTATCTTCAGAGTCCATGTTCAATACTAGCTCACGTATCTGAAAAAATAATAGTTTCAGCTTGTTTGCGAAATATTAGAAATAGCTGTTGTACAACATAATTAGTTTTTTCAAGAATTGACTCCAAGTGAACATGTCCAGTACTTCGACAAAAAAGAAAAAATCCGTGTCCAATATGAACACGGGGATAACGATAACAATGTATAACCAGAAACATGGTGTATGACCGTAATCATGGTAGTTTTTGTGTAATCATGATTAGGACGCCACTAGACGTAAATTTTCTTTCCGAATTATTTCGAGATGTCTACTTATTACGGTAGTTTTTGTATAATCATAATTAGGAACGTAATTTTTTTTCCGAATCATTTCGAGATGTCTACTTATTATGGTAGTTTTTGTATAATCATAATTAGGACGCCATTGAACGTAAATTTTTTTCCGAATCATTTCGAGATGTCTACTTATTGCAATTTTGGTTTAATTGAATGAGTGCTCTTCATTAATTTTCCTCACTTAATATATCTATTATCTTTTATATTTGGAAAAAGATTCAATCTTTTCATACTTTTCTGGAAATTTGTTTTTATTATTTTTTTAAAATAATAAAAAATTATTTCTCAAATTGGTAACACCCAAGGCTTTCGATGACAAATGGGCCATGTCGTGGATTGGTTCGGCCCGTGTCCGTCTCACAAGGAAACCCCCGAAAGGCCTTTGAAAAGGCATGTCCCTCCCCTAGTCTTTGCAACACATATCCTTTTCGTAATATAATGCGCCGTCAATCTTTTCATTTTTAAAAACGAAGTATTGTATTAATATAAATTACTCGTCAAAGTAAAATTCAAATTGTATCATATTTCATGTGAATCTTCATTTTCGATAAATTAAAAAAACGAAATTAATTAATAGGAAGAATAACGACGAAAAAAAAAGATCACAGCAATTTTCAATCGTTATTAATTTGCAACACTAAAGTTGATTTTTTTTGTCAAATAAAACTCATGGTATTATTGTATGGACAAGTTCGAATCCCGATAAGAAGCAAAACGAGCGCAGAACATAAAAAAAATAAAAAATAAAAAAGATATCTCGAAAGAGAATTCATCAATCTCTTATAATTTATAGTTTTATGCGTCTTGAGGAGAAGTTTGGAATTGCATTACCTATATATTATATATTATTATAAATATTAGTCGCCCAAAACGGAAGTCATCCGTACCGACGGTGGCATTTTCGTAAATCAGTTGAAACCCACGCCCTTCTATGTACGCGCTCCTCCTCCCCCCTTCCCCTATAAATTCGTTTCAGACTTCGGAGAAAACCCACACTCCATATGTCCCATCATTTGAATCCCCCAGTTAGAGAGGGAGCTTAGAGAAAGAGCGAGAGAGAGAGAGAGAGAGAGAGAGCGAGAGAGGCGACGGCGACGACGGCGGACCAGAGGGAAGCGGCCGCAATCCGCCGCGAAGTCAGTTGCGCGGCCTCGATTTCTCCGGCGCGCATTTGCGATCGTGCGATTCCCCCTCTCAGTTCAGCGCCCGTTGCTATTTCAGTCGGAGCGAGTGGGAGCGAGGTTCCATGAGCCGTTCGGCGTTCAAGTCCGTGGTGTACCACGGCGATGTGCGCCTCGGGGAGCTGGACGCGGTCCCGGCGAACGGCCACGGCTTCCAGTTCCCCAACAACGAGATTCGGATCCACCGCATCTCGCCGATCAGCGAGAGGTGTCCCCCTCTGTCGATCCTCCAGACGGTGTCCTCGTTCTCGGTCCGGTGCAAGCTCGAGTCGTCCTCTCCGGTCGAGCAGGCGAATTTGATCAATCTGCACGCCTCTTGCTTCTACGAATTCAAGGTCTCTAGTGGGCGACGAATCGCTCCTTTTTCTTATATGCTCGGAAGCCGCTCTGTTTCCTTTTAGTGTTAATTGCTGATAATAATGCCGCTGTGTGTCTTTCATGCTGTTGAGAGTGCTTGGTTATGATCAGGTCTTGCATTGTCTCTGCTGCGTGTAGTGATTCTGTTGGTTTTAGAGAGTGTGTGAGTGAGAGCTCTGATGGATGAATCTGTCTTGGCAGACTGCTGTAGTGTTGCTTGACGAAGAGGAAATACACTTGGTGGCAATGCCTAGTAAGCAGAAGAAGTTCCCGTGCTTTTGGTGCTTCTCCGTTCCTTTGGGTCTCTACGAATCCTCTCTGAGATTGCTTAATCTACGGTGCCTTTCGATTGTGTTTGATCTCGATGAGACGCTCATTGTTGCCAACACAATGAAGTCTTTCGAGGACAGAATCGAGGCTATTCGAGGCTGGATTGCAAGGGAGACTGATTCGGTGAGGATATCAGGAATGTCAGCTGAACTGAAACGGTATGTAGATGATAGAGCGCTACTCAAGCAGTATGCAGACAGTGATTGTGTCATGGATAATGGAAAGATGTACAAGGTTCAGCTTGAGGAGGTCCCTCAGCTTTCAGATAGCCATGAGAAAGTTGTTAGACCCGTAATTAGATTGCAAGAAAGAAATACCGTCCTCACTCGCATCAATCCTGAGGTTAGAAGACGCTTTTGCTGCTACTCTTGTTTAGTTTTTTACTTCTTCTTTTTTTGTGTTATAACATAAGTTGTCTCTAATGATGGAACACAGGCTTTATGTGGGATAATTACTCTTTCATTTGAATTCACGCACCATAATCACGTGTTTTCTTTCCAAATCAGAACCAGGACTTTTTCTCTTGCATCGGGGAGAACATATCTAGAATTGACCAAGGGTTTTGAAGCAGGAAAAAGTTGACCATTGACTCATTTACCCTTAGAAAGAACGCTGGCTCCCATTATTTAATTCATCTATCTAAATAACGGCTCGTGCAATATGTTTTGTTTTTTTCAATTTGTTGGCATACAAAAGCTGAGAGTTCTTGTGGGCCTTTCCAGTGAGCAAAGACATACTAAGTTCAAATTGAGAGGAGCAAGGCATGTTTTATATTCATGTGTAAACTACAATCTAGGCTATAGCTTTCAACTGAAGTTGCTGATCGAATGTTTTTGCACATTGAGGAAGTGATGTGCTTGATGGTGGGCTAGCTTTTCTTGTCATCAAAATCAATTCCTCTGTCCATGATTCACTATTTTGTTATTGCAGACAGGTTTTGATTGAAGAGGTTCCACTTCTTGTTCCTATTAGCAATGCCTTGTTCACCCAATTTAGAAAAATCATATCTCCAGATAATGTTGAATGGTGTTTTATTTAAGGTTAATTCTGAATTATACATTTCAAGATATAGAAAGCCATGTGTATTTTTCTTGTCAGCATCTTTATTTTCTCTTTATGCAGATCCGTGACACCAGTGTGCTGGTGAGATTACGACCTGCATGGGATGACTTGAGAAGTTACTTAACAGCTAAAGGACGTAAGAGGTTTGAAGTTTATGTGTGCACAATGGCTGAAAGAGACTATGCTTTAGAGATGTGGAGGCTTCTTGACCCCGAAGCACACTTAATTAATTCAAAACAACTCTTGAACCGTGTTGTTTGTGTCAAATCAGGCAAGTTGTCTGCTTATGCACAAAATAAGATGCTTGTAGGAGATGTAATTGTGGAGTTTGCGAGTTGATTACTCTCTGTGTTGCGTGTTTGTACATATGGGTTTATGCATATGCTTAAGTGCTGGTGTAAGAAGGCAAGAAAGGTGAAGATCTGACATCTTTGTTGTTATTAACTAGTAGTACCCAATATGCAAAACTGATGTCATGCCATAATTCGTATAATTGAGCCATTGCCAAATGCTTAAGGAGATCAAATCGGGGAAAAATGTCAGTGACTTGCTTTAAAAGGTAGATACCTATTGAATCTGTCATACAACCATAGACACTCCATTTTGTTTTATTCTACTACGAACAATATAGTTATCTCATATGAAATCATTTAAATGACTAATGAGGTACAGTTGCTTTCCTTTTGAAGCTTGAGCGCTATATTTCGCTGTTGCCTAGCATGTCTCTTTTCTGCATGCTTCTTAAAGATTTGAACAGTGGCCCACTAATGCAACATGCTTGGGAGATTTAATGCTTTTCATTTTCATTATAACATTAATGGTTATCCGCTCCTAACCTTTGTGGTTGTATCTTCTATGACAATTTTTGCTTTATTGCTCACTTGATGAATGCATTTTCATTGGGCTGCCGTCTTAAAAAATTGCTTGCATTGATTGACTTCATAGCCAGTAGAAACAGGTTTGATCCATTGCATCATATAACTTGCTTGTGCTCCTTGCCCCCGCTCCCCATTGGGGGTGACTTAGCTTTCTGTTTTTTCCCTAGCCTAGCCCATGTGATGGTATCCTCATGTTCTCTACAATAATTTTAAGCTTAATGGAATAAACTTGTCTATTTTACCCAGGGAGGTCATAATTGGAATCAGTGATTAACGCTTACCTCAGCCTTCTGTTCCTGTGTTTTATATTCCATTTAAGAACTTAGAAGAGAAAGTATTGTGCGGATAGGATTGGTATATCCCAGCTTTATAGGAGCAATGTCCTCACATGTGAAAGTTTTATGTGATTATTCAGCAGCTTTCGCTGAAAATGTGGGCCAATCTATATAGTACACACGGGATGAGATAATTATATTGAATGCCTGTTTTCCTAATTACAGATTGTATAACGAGGGCTTTTTTATTGCATGGATTTTGTAGAGCGTGGAAAGTTTATTTAACTAATAAAAGCATGGCTTTAGATTCAATGGAGTTCATTTAATGGCGTTCACGTTGGTCAATGGATGTGTACATATTGTCGGACTTAATAACACTTATTTTGGATATTTTTGGGTTTTATGATACCACCTCCCCCAGTCGCACTTAACTTTAGTCCGCCTGGCTTTGCAACCTTTTTGTTAGGTTTTTCTTCCTTGTTTCATGAATTACATAGCTAAATCTTGATTAATGATTTAAGTATGCCACCTTTTGATTGCATATCTCTTCTAACTACTAGGACGTTAGTTCTATCACTTAGGCAAATTTTAGTGAAGTACTGTCCCCCATTTTCACATTGCTACTCCACATTCTTCCTTTTCCCAGCAGTATCCTAATCATGCTTAATATGTTATGAATGGCAGGTTCAAGGAAATCATTGCTAAATGTGTTTCAGGATGGTAACTGCCATCCCAAGATGGCAATGGTGATTGATGACCGCTCAAAGGTCTGGGAAGACAGGGATCAACCACGAGTGCATGTAGTTCCTCCATTTGCTCCATACTATGCTCCTCAGGCGGAGGTATTAGATCATGGATTTATTACGTCTCTTCTGGATAGTCCTTTTATTATTCTAGTGAAAGAAAATTCCACTAAGCTTTCTTTGTGTGTAAATGTCATAATGTTAGTCAGATTGATTTGCATGAGCAATGGGAAGACAGTCACTCAATCAATTAAGGGTTGTTTTCTGTAATAACTTCCAGACCTTCTTTGGTACCGGGAATCTAGCCAATAAAATGGGAATCAAATTGCCATTGCCTTTCTTGGCTCATTTGGTCAATTTGAATGAGGTGGACGGAAATCAAAACTCGGAAGGAAAAGTTTCTCCGTGTTATGTTTTTATAACAGGAGGGAAAAAAAGTAGCGTCATAGATAGACCATTAAATAGGGCATTTGGCAACTTTTGTGTGGAGAAAATTTGGAAGAATAACTTGCTTATATGTTTACAACAATTCGTACCATAAAAAGATATATTCAAAAACGTAAATGTCGCCAATTGCAGAAATATTCAAATTATTATCATCTTGATTTGTTATAATTTATCCTGATTCCTTTTATCTTATATCAATTGCTTCATTCTTATTAACGAAAGGGGCCCGAAGTGATATATGAATGAGGATAAAGGCCAGTGACCTTAGCTATATCCATTGTTCAATTTTTTTCAATCTATTGGCTTTTTTGGGCATGTTGTCGAGGTTTCATTTATGAAATAGGTTTTTTTCGATGAAATATATTGATGAAAGTATGAATACACATATCTTTTTGGGTTTTTATCAGACTGCAAGTGCTGTTCCAATCCTTTGTGTGGCAAGAAATGTAGCATGCAATGTCAGGGGTTACTTTTTCAAGTAAGTATTTAGATTTCAGTCAAACTGTATAAAGCCGTTTACAGCAAAAGATTAAATTTGAGTTGCATTCTGATCTCGTATCTGATTGAGATATGATATTTTCTTATCCAGGGAGTTTGATGAGAACCTATTAAAGAAAATCTCTGAAGTATTTTATGAAGATGAGGTGGTTACTTTACCCCATGCTCCTGATGTGAGCAACTACTTGATGTCAGAGGTATTTGAAACTGACTTTTTCAATATGGATTATTGGAGAAATCTGAGGGTCTGTTTAAAGTTCTCATCGATCGTTATCATCTGTCCTTAATGTCAGGACTCTGGTTTTGTACCAAATGGCGCCACAAACGCTCCATTTGCGGATGGAATTCATGGTGCAGAAATTGATAAAAGACTTAATCCTCCGGTAACCTAAGATATATGCTCTGTTCAATTTTTCTGCTTATTCATTCATTCAAATCTGGAGTTTGGTGTACTGATTTTATTATGAACAAGGCCGACTTCTTTTCATTTGTTTATTTTAGGGTGAAAAGCACGCTGTTGATGTGGCTGGCATCCCCTTAAAAGAAACTCCTGATGTTAAATCTGAAACATCCCAGCCAACAATTACTATAATTCCAAACACTGTTGGTCCGAATGCTTCGAGAACACTCATGCCATCTCAGAGTATGATTTTCCACCGTTAGGAATATACGTGTCTCCAAGAGTTTGTACATAATTTGGGTGTACAAGCATGCAATCTTTTGTTATGATACGGATTTTTGTGTTCCTGTTTTTTCGTAGAACCTGGTTTGCTTGGTAATCCTACTAGACAAGATTTCAGCTTTTCGGATCGGGAACATGATGTGAAAAGGAGAATTCTTACTATGAAACATGGTCCAGACTTGAAAAATCAGGGCTCAGGTGAGCCCCCTCTCCTATCTAGACCACCAGTGCAGTTACCTACTGCCAATATCCATCCACACGGAGGATTGCCCGTGGAAGAAGACTCAAGCAAAGGACATATAAATTGTAGAAGTTCTGGATTTTCTCAAGAATCTGATTCACTGAAGTTTGATAAGCAGAGAGCTCATCAAAATCAGCTTGGTCACAATCTTCCAAGTGTTAGTACCTCTGGTGTGCTCTCTAACACATCTCAAGTGAAGGCAGAAGAGGTTTGCTTGTAACTTATGTCTAGAGTTTAGATTACAAGTTACTTCTAGTTTTGACCTTAGTTCCCATTTCACCAGGTGTGGTCTGGACCTGATCAGAAAAAATCAAAAATGCCTTCTGGAAGTCAGCAATCTGGTATAGAACTTTCTTTTTCCACCTTTCCGGTTAATAGTAATGTGCAAGTTTTTCTGTTGAGTCTCCTTTTATTTTATCTCATGCTGTCTAATTTGCCATGAACATGTATTAGAATTGTATTTTGTTTCTGGAAACGAGGTCTAGATGTTTCTTTTTTGGCCATTGGTCTAGATCTTACGTTTAAGTTAGCCTTTCCAGCATCCCTTCATGTTACTCATGATTTAGATAGAGACACCTTTAAGGTGTGTCATGGTTTAAACATGCGTTAGCGCATTTCTCATTTTGATTTGTTAATTTAGACCATTATTATTGTCACTGATAGATGGGGATGAAACTTCGCAAAGCTACCAAGGGTGAGAGATCTGTTTTCTCATTTCATAGCAATATTACTGACTGGGTGATGTCTGGTGCAGAGATTGGTGTACCTCAAAATCGGAGTTGTTCTAATGACAGAGATACTCACGCTGATGCTGGAAAAGAGAACTTGCTACAGTTGTCATTGTCTATTGCAGTGCTGCAAGAGATTGGACGGAGATGCAGCTCCAAGGTGAGTTTGATTTGGATCCTTTTTCTTTGATATTTGACCCTCCTTTTTTTTGGGATTTCAACATATTTTTCCCTTCAGGTAGAGTTCAGGACAATCTTGAGCACCAGTAAGGATTTGCAGTTTTCTGTCGAGGTCAGTGATTTTGGAATCTTATCTTTTTTTTCGGATCAAGATCCTTTATGTGTTATTTATTTGCTCCCACATTTGTATGATGTATTCTATGGATCTATATTACCTTATTCTAGCAAAAAGAATAGGCATATTGTATTCGATGTGGATGTTTATATGGTAAGCGGTTGAATATATGCTCTGCTGTGTGCTAGGACAGATATGTATTTGCCTATGACATTGCCCCGATTGTTTTGGCATAATTCTCTAGCTTAACAAATTCATTGCAGTCATCTTTGTTGCTTCTTTTTCACAGGTTTTATTTACTGGTGAGAAGATAGGTGTTGGAATGGGTAAAACGAGGAAGGATGCTCAACAACAAGCTGCCCTAAATGCTCTTCACAGTTTGGCAGGTAGATAGCTTCTTTATAGGGCCTTCAATATATGATAAGTAGATAATTCTACTGTTTTTTCTTAGGGCGATAGGAGTATGGATATTGATGCATTAAAGGATGAATTTGAGATGAGAGACTCGCTGCTGTACATTACTACTTTGGTGTGTTTTTGTTGTCTATGTAGAAGGTTTCTGGGGCTATCTTGTTAATGCTGTGTAAGTTTAAACTGAATGATGTTACAATTAGATTTTCTGTAATGCTTGATCAAATTGCAGAGAAGTACGTCACCTATGCCAGGAGCCATTCACCAGAAGTTGACAAAAATCTCAATAAGATCTCTCAAGGGAAAGAAAATGGATTTCTGTGGGATGTTGTCAGTCCTGGGTCACATGAACCACCAAGAGAAGATGAGTTTGCCAAAGAGGTCGATACTGAGGCGCGATCATCTTGATGCTTAGAACTGTTAATTGCTCTCTCCTTAAAAGGAGTTGGTGATGCTTGTAATTAGATAAGGTTACCTGGGCAGGAAACTGAGAAATTTTTACCTGAAGATCAGTGTTCGTCTTTTCCTGATTATGAAGCTAAGAGCTGAAAGAAAGCGAGCCGGCTTCATGCCTCCCAATGTTGACTTCTGGTTCTGTGGTAAGTCTGTGGTCTTTCTCTATACATTAGCCTCTATTTTTTGTGATCCGTTTAATGCTGTTATCCTGTTATGCGGCCATATTTCCACAGTGCTACTGTGTCTTTTGACTTTTCCCCCCTGCTGAAGTAGAAAAATGGCTGTGCATTTTCTACACTCATAAAACTGTTCTGGTGGCTAGGACTGGCAATTTCAGACAGGATCTGTAATGTGAAAGGTTGCCAAACTATTGCCAGTCCTAACTATCAAAGCAGGTATGAGAACTTTGAAGAGCAGGACCTCATTCATTCTACTGCAAATATTTTCCTTCTCTGTCAAGGTGCATGTTGCGGTTTTGCAAAGGGGTGTACTATGGGTGAGTTGTCATAGTTCATGTTGACAACCGATTGAATTTTTTCTTTATTTAAGCTCGTTACAATATACAGGCAATGTCCATCATGATTCTTATTTCTATCATGAGAGTCATGTTGACTAGTTTTCCATAGATTGATTTGTGCTCCTTGTTGCTCCTTTCTACTCTGCTTAGGCATGGTCCATCATGATTCTCCTTGTTGCGCCATTCGCGGAGGCTCAACCATTTGTGAAAATATTCTCCTAAAATTGATTGCTTAAACGAATCAATTGGAAAATATTTTTACCAACCAAAATGTTTGTAAGTTGTTAAGAATAATAAAATCTTTTTCCAATGACTAATTTCTTTAAGAGATACATGCAATCATTTAAAGGAAAATTTTTTCAAATCATTGATTTTCTGTAAAGCAAAATGCACTTGGCACTTGCTTTTTAGCTAATTGCATCTCATTTGCTTTTTGGCCCCCTTCACTTCATTGGGCATCATAGACCTTTTTGTTGACAAATCTGATTTGCTTCAGTTTTCTTGAACTTTTGTAGGTCGCATGATTCCTTCCAGCTCCAAGCAAATACCCGAGGACTGGGAGCTCCCGAGTGGGGCAAAGTTTATCCCGCTTGTGGCGACATATGTGCCGCAAGAATAGCATATCACAATGTGATCAGGAGAGGTGGAACTGATGCCGGGTGCGAAGCCAATGACTTGACATGTTACCTGTCGCAGCAGTCTGGATCTTTCAGAAGCCTTGCAAAATTGGATAGGTCATGCCATCCGAATGTGGATCTTTGTGAAATCTGTATCCTGCGTTATCTTGAACCCGGGTTTAATTGAGAAAAACGGCAGTAAGTCGAATTGTACTGGGTATATTCTTTTGGTATTATGGGCTTAGGAAAGGTGGCTCTATATTCCTTTATCTTGTTCCTTTGCTGTATATAGATGGAATGCAATACTCAAGTTCTTCAAAATGCTGGCTAGATATTTCTGTTTGTGTTTTATCTGCTACGCGGACTTATCGCTGGTCCCGACTGATTGTAGTGTTGCATTTATCGAGAATACATGTTTCTCTTGTTGTCTTCACTCTTGACAAAGGGACTCCTGAGACAATTTAAGCAGATAGTCAAACCCGAGTTTACGGTCGGGGTCTTAGTAGAGATGCTACTGTGATAGCAATTAATTCTCGGCATGCGATAAGGAGCTTTACCGCCCTTGCTGAACTGGCCTCGGATACATTCAGGTTTTCCTTTTCAGCCAAAACGGACCCCAAACAAGTTCGATAAACTAGATTAGCGTTGATACCGGCCGTAGTCTTTGGTTTTTGGGGCCAAACTTCCTCCTGCTCATCTTCTTCATTAAGCCGGCCGTTGCGGCCGGGGCTTGTGTATGCTTGACCCTAGCAAATTTGGGATAGGCCGTGAGTTCATCAAAAGCTCGTCTTATTTTTAACTTGTTGATGGGACCACTCTAATCAATGCATATGAAGTCTTAGAGTTCTATTTTAATTCTCAATCTCATTTTATCTACATTGACCGAAAGTAAGTTCTCACACAGATTTGTGCAAGCCGCCCCAAGGTAGTCACCTATCCCGACAGACCTTGGATGAAGCTTAATCCAATAGGGAGGAGCCCCGGATCGACCACTCGAAATCTGACTTGATCCAAGCCTCGATCTTGACCTGGGCTTGTCGCCGCTGACGCCGCCGTGTCTCCTTCATCAACAATGGTGGTGACGGAATAAGTCCGGGGAGGGATTTTCCATAATTTCCACAAGGTGAAATTTGTTGAGTGTCAAGTTGCAATCAATTTTGACCCAAAAAAAAAAAAGTTGAAATAAAGTTTTCTTTTGCAAAAGGTGACAAATTATCTGGCAAAGGATTTATACATAGAGATAATGACACAAATAATCCATAAAGTTTCGTTCAATATGTAATTTAGTCCCTGAACTTTAGCCTAATTAATGTGGTTCCTGAACTTTTAATTTGTTCAATGTGATCCCTGAATTTTTGGTACATATTCAATTTAGTCCATGAACTATATGAAAATGTATAATATAGTCCCTTCATTGAATTAATGGAGGGGCTATATTATACATTTTGATATAGTTAGGGACTATATTATATATTTTCATATAGCTCAGGAACTAAATTGAACATGTACCAAAAGTTTAGGGACCACATTGAACAAATTAAAAGTTCATGGACCACATTGAATATTGGGTTAAAGTTCAGGGATCATATTGAACAAATTAAAAGTTCAAAGATTAAATTGTATATTGAGTTAAAATTCAGGGATTGTTTATGTCATTGTCCCTCGTACATATTGTCAAAATTGGCGACCTTCATGACTAATACCGGATAAAAGGAAAAGAAAAAAAGAATAAGAAGATATTTTTCACGACACGAAATACAAAATTGAGGGCGGGGTTTATCGTTATTTGCTCGAGCCAGCGAACACAAACCGCAGTTCCGTTCCTCGGTAAGGTTTAAGCATCGCCGGCGGCGATGTCGACTGCGAGTATGGGCGGCGCCACCAGGTTCCTGATGCTCCTCGCCACTCCTATCCCCCCGCGCTGCCCCTCCCTCCTCCGCCTAGCTCGCCTCCACCGCCGCCGCCGTCGCCATCTCCGCCACCTGTCTCCTCTCCCCTCGCTCTCTCTCCACCGCCACATCCTCAGCGCTTCTGCCGACTATTCCCTTCCGCTGGGAATCAAGTGCTCTTCGCGACATTTTCATGCTCAGAGCAACGCCGTCAGAGACGATCGATTCTCCGACTCCGCTCATCCGTGGCCGGAGTGGCTCAATTTCGTCAGGAGCTTGTCCGCCGGTGGTTATTTCGGTACGGGGGGATCCGCTGCAGCCGCGGCGCGGGGGATTAGAGGCGAGGCTGAGTTCTTGGCGGGCGTGGAACTGCAGGAGGAGTTCGTTCGTGCAGCTGAGGCTGGCTTGGCCTACGCGCGCGATCGGCCTCATCTTTTGAGGTATGGTTTTTATTAAAATTCTCATATTCTTGATAGTCTTGTTTTGTCTAGCGATGCGTTTTATTCATGCCTGAAGTTGGTTGTGTAGAGCACTCTCGAAGCGAGATATAGACGTGCTGGTCGAAAATGGTGCTCCTTTCCTGTTCAAGAACGCTGATGATTCCATCAGAAAATTGAGGGCTTTCATGAGTGCCGACGAAGTTGGTCTAAGAACTCATTTTCACAGTTCTTTTGCTTGTAAATTTGTTGTGCCGATAGTTTTATTGCTCTTTGGGTGGTTAAATAAACAACATTGAAATTTACAATACCAATTTCTGCTTGCATGCTTGGTAATTAAGTTATTGTGGTTAACGATGGCATCTGACTTTCGGCATGCTTTTTTCTTGCTTTTCGTTGTATAGACTGTTGATGGAAATAAAGCGCAGACAATTGATTTGATGAGGTTCATATTGAGTTATGCCTGCAGTCCCCTCACACCAGAGAAAAGTTACTTCAGTAACCAAATTTTTATTGCATCTGTACGGAATCTGCTCCAAGAGATGGCAAATTTAAGTCATACTCCACCATCAAACTTTGCTGGTTCTCTTGAGAGCCAGTTCTCTGGTGGATATGGACAAGTTCCTAGGCCTCGTGGGCCAAACATTGAGATGAAAAGAGGTGACTGGATTTGCCCCAGGCAAGTGCTTTCTTCTCTCTGTCGCCGAAATGAGTTCTACTCCTGTCTTTCACCAATCTGTATATTCTGCTTGTTATGATATGGCAGGCAAATTGAATCTCTCTCTTTGACATTATGAGCAGGTGTAATTTTATGAATTTTGCAAGAAACGTGAAGTGCCTTGAATGTGAAGAGGCACGACCAAAGGGGCATTTGACAGGCAGAGAGTGGGAATGTCCTCAGTGAGTATTTGCTTAGTGTTTTTTTATGAAAGGTATTGTGGATAGCTATCATTAGTATGAGTCCAACGTACTGAAAGTAGTGTTTTGATTTTTCAAACAATCGTAGATGTGACTTCCTCAATCATGGGAGGAATCAAGTATGCTTGAGATGTGAATGCAAGCATCCTGGACAGATGTCATCCACAGTCCCCTCTGGATTTGGTTCAGGTCATGGTACTGTTGATGATGCTAATAAAGTTGATATTGAGAGGAGGTTAGCTGCCAATGAAGAGAAGGCACAGAGGTGGTTCAAAAAAGTCTCACAGCTAGATAGCACTTCAGATGTGAACAGTGCTATGACAGATGAAGATTTCCCTGAGATTATGCCACTTAGGAAGGGAGTGAATAGATTTGTTGTGAGCACGAAGAAGACGCCTCTGGATAGGAGGCTGGCCAATGCTCAAAACAGAAGTAACTTGACTTCTGAGGTAACTCCAAATGTTGATGATAACCGCAGTTGGGATGCAAACAAGCGATTTGATTCACCTTTTTCCAACTCACCATCTCCACAGCAAGGACAGCCTGGAGGAAACAATTCTGGTTATGTTGCTTTTAGGCCTTTACCTGATGATATGTTTGCCAAGAAACCCGGAATTTCTGAAACTGAGGCAGACAACATGGTGACAGGTGGGGCCGCTTCTCTTGCTTCAAATGCTAGAGAGCAGGGTTCTTCTACTTCTGGAGTCAACGTCACTGGTAAATCAGGAGCTGGTTTACCACCTTCTCATGGGCCAGTTATCGAGACCGAGAGCCAAGATAAAGAAAGAGGAGGAGAAGAAAAATCTGAGAGATGGTTCAGGCGAATTGCAGAATTACATGATGCCCGAGATTTGCCATCTGCAGTTCCTGACCAAGATTTCTCTGAGACAATGCCCGTGTGTAAGGGAGAGAACCGATTTACAGTCGGAAGGATGAAAGATCGTTCTTTGACTTCTCCAACGTACAAAAGACGTGCCGCAATGGAGCAAGCTAGCAAATCCAACTTTGTTCCCTTTGTTCCATTCCCACCTGGGTATTTTGCCAAGAAGGAAAACCAGCAGCCTGACTGGGAAAATGCTACTGATAAAGCTTCTTTGGAAATGGCATCAACTCTTGCATCTCCGAAGAAGCTTCCACTGGAGGCAAATGATTCAAGTTTGATGCCGCATAATGGCACTGTTCAATCAATGGAAAACCGGCAAATTGATAGTGGGAACTGGAATATGAAACCTCCTGTAGAGAACTTAACTCCAAATAGTTTAACCATGAGAAAAGGGACACATAATGTTGGGATGCTGCAGGACTTGAGCAATCCTCAGACAAGTAGCGGAAGTAGTGGAGGTGCTGGATTATTTAAAGATGGTAGAGATACAAGAGAGACGACAAATCAGGTGAGCAGTTCACGCCAACCATCAGAAAGTTTCAATGTGAGAGAGCATTGGAGAGGTAAGAGCTTGGAGGGTTCAGCAGTGAAAGAACCTGATCCTCTGGACATGTCAGAGGAGGCAAAGGCAGAAAGGTGGTTCCGACGTGTTGCCCAGATTAAGGACATTTCAGAGCTGAGCCAAATACCAGACGAGGATTTCCCATCAATAATGCCAATGCGGAAAGGAGTGAACAGGTTTGTGGTGAGCAAGAGGAAGACGCCATTAGAGAGGAGGCTGACTTCTTCTCAGTATAGAAGGAATCTCCCTGTTGTGACCTCTGATCCTGTGAAGAATGAAGAATAAGTGACATCAAGTTTATCCAATTGTTGTAATGCTTTATAAAATCATTACTTAACAAATTTTTTTAACTTGATAGTTTTTTTTAAAGCGATTCTCTATTTCAACAAAGTGAGCAAGAAACAACTAGAGCCCTCAGGTCTCAGCTTACATTATCTTAATCGTCTTCACACCTCTTGTGCCTTTGCCTAAAGGCACTTAAACCAGTGATGAAAGCAAGCTGCAGATGGAGAAGATAGAAAGATTGAGGTCTTGGCAACTTCGTGTGTCGGGAGGAATGTTTTCAGGGAGATGGGCCTTGCTCGGATTGGAAAAGAATGTCAGATAATTTGGGTTTCAAAGAAAGTTGGGAAGTGGTTGTAATGGAGGGTGGATGGTAATGAACAGGTGTTCTCATTGGGGTTGTAACTTCTACGTTCCTTTGTCATGGACCAGTGAGCTGAAGCTTCATAGTGTCGTGAAGGAACCTGTCAAAGCCTCAAAGGTGATCTCCTTAGAGCAGTGCACTTTTTATTTGTAGTCTTACGGTGCTTAACCGTGATTTGGTGTTATGTTCCTCCTATGCGTTTAGGAAACCATTTGATAGGACGATAGGAGGAGGATAGGACACCATTAAGAACAGGAAGTATTTTCTTTTTGTAGGTAATAGAAAGTACTTTTTTTTATAGATAATAGGAACTATTTTGATGGTTCTTTGCTTGTTATATTCTGATTCAGAGATTTTATTGCACCTGATTCTCTTGGACGATAATTAGAATCAAATGGAGTTTATAGCCTGCTCAATAGTGTGGTTGGAAGAGAGCGACCCTTTAAATTAGATAAGAGTAATGCTAAGCATGTTAAGACAAATTTACAGAGATGCCATATTTTCCGTCAACCCTGGCTCTTCTAATTGGTGGACTACAATTATGGTCATCGGCCACATTTACTTTAGTTAATTTTGCATGTGGGTGATGTCCAGAACTAGTGACCCACCAAAATTAGTATACATTAAAAAATTGGTGTACGTGATAATGTGGCAGACTGCAAGTTGATATTTATCAGGTTGAGTGTGTTCCACCAACATAAGTCTGCCACATTGCTTCATAAAGTAAATTTGCGAATTGAGTAAACATAGAACTGAGGCACAACTTTAAAGTAACTGGCCACTTCAAATATGAAATTTCATTGTTTGGTCTTTGTTTCTCAGCTGCTTATTGGATGGTTCTCTTTCTAGCTAACTGCTGCCTTATGTTAAAAATTGTGTAGTATCTGTTTCTCGATCTCATTTACCTGGCATCTTAGTTTTGCAATTAATGGCTTGCTATGCCAGTTTTGTTTGCATTACTTCAAATGTTCTGTAGGAAGAATTGCAAATTCGTTTTATTAATGGAGTGCATTCTGTTTATGAGAGATTCGTCTTTCAAATCTTTTATTTCTGAAGAAGAAGGTTTTTAAGAGGAAGATTGTAGCCAGACCTGTTATATGATAAAAATCATGTGTTATTGTTGTTGCACTTGTTTGACTTGCTGCTATCTTTCACTTTTGCATGTGGCTTCTTGGAATTCTTCATCAGTTAGGGCTAGTGCATATTTGTGAAGCAACATTGACAAACCGAGCAAAGCTGAATTTAGGAAGTAATAGTCTGGTGGCTTAACGGTATGCCTCTGTAGCATCAAGTGAAATATAGCCAGTAATTCAAAACTCTCTCTGTTTGTGTGTGTGTGTGTGTGTGTGTGTGTGTGTGTGTGTGTGTGTGTGTGTGTGTGTGGGGGGGGGGGGCGGGGGGCGAGGGTGGTGTGTTGGAGGGGCACGGTGGTGTGCCTATGCTTCTGGGGCTTTTGGAGGGGAGGGAGAGTTGTCCATGACTTTGTGAGTGCTAATACAAGTGACATAAAATCTGCAAAACATAAACTGCTAATTACTTCCGACTGACAATGGTTGTGAGCAAATTGTATTTTCTTTGAACACATAATGCTTCTTTCTCTTAGGTTTTAGTATCTGGCAGTTTAAAATGTTCTCTTGTTTTATGTCATCACACTTAGTTCTCAGTGGATTTGTTTATGCCCATGGCAACTGCTGTCAACAGCACCACCTGACTAAGTCTAGCAGTGAGCTGATAAATACTGCATCGTACTTGAGCAGATATGAGGCTTATTTTACTTGCAATGGCATGGTAAAACTGATATCGCTCTAACCAAAGTTAAGCTCTAGGGATAGGAGATAGGGAGTCAATTAGTTAATTGAAGTAATTAGGCCAGGACCATATAAGCCTTGGTGTAGTCCTCCTCACTGGTTCAAGAACAATATAAGCCTTGCTGTAGTCGTCCTCACTGGTTCAAGGTTAGTTTAACCAAACTTTTTTTTTTTGGTGGATTCTACGTTTTTACCCAGTTGAATACATTGTCAAGGTCAAGAGATGCAGTTTACACAAGCTGTACTGGAGAAGTGGCTTAACGTTTAGCAAGCTTCTTCAATTAACTAAAGCATTAACTCTACCTGGCTGATTAAGTACTTGCCTTGCTGATCGACAAAGAGGCTTTGATTAACAGCCTTTAATAACTTATGGTTATGTATGACTGCTCAGAGTGTCAGGCATAGAAGGACTGGCTACTTTTTTTTATCCACAAGTTTGGCGACCTTTGCACTTTCATGATTTTCATGTACCTGATTGATAGATGGAAAATTTTATGCCTATTCCTGCTCCTCTGCGCCTTGTGCCTTTAATATGTAATTATAATAGGAGCTTCCTGATTTTCTTTCCATTAATATATTGAGGAGTCAGTACAAAAGCTAAGCTCATAGAGAAAAGTTCGGCAAAATAACCGAATAAGAGGACGCTGTGAGCACAAGGTTACTGATACACCTCATTTTGCCATAGGACTTTGTCAATCTTGTTATAACGAAGTGAGTTATGCTTTTTTTCCCTACTCGTGCTTCTTGATTCAACTTTTGGTCCAAGCACTAAACATTTTTTGGCTTTGTTGCGTTTTGTGGAATTTTTGTGGGGTCTTGAGGGAGGCTCAGATCCTCCAGCTTTCCAACACGATGAGAAGGAAAGATTGGCTAACTCATCTATCGCTGAAGAAACAAGTGAAACAACTTTGGTTAACATGGTATTACTCGAAATAATGCACCGGTAGCAATGTTGTACAGGTCAATGAGTACTGCAATATGATGATATTGCTTCCTTACATTAGTCGTCTTCATTATTGAGAAATAAGTAAGAATTCTGCTGATGACTAATCATGGCATATGGGTTTGAAGTTCTTCCTTGATAGCTCCACCCTCCCTACAACATGGAGATGTATAATCTAACTTACCCCATAGTACGAGTAATGCATAATCTAGGATTTATCCTGAAAGAATTCTTGCATGACCTTGCCTTCAAACACGCGAAATCATTCTGAAAGTAATGCACCGGCAAAATCTTCTCCTTCCTTCCGAATCGTGAATCCAATGCCCGGGAGAAGTGTCAAAAATCCTAAACCTTTTACATTGATGCCAATTTAGTCCTAAACCTTTTTTTGTGCCAATTCAGTCCTAAACCTTTTGCATTTGTGTCAATTGAGTCCTAAACCTTTTTGGTGCCAATTGAGCCCTAAACCTTTTTTGGTGCCAATTGGTCCTAAACCTTTGTATTGGTGCCATTGGTCCTAAACCTTTGCATTGGTGCCAATTGAGTCCTAAACCTTTTTTGGTGCCAATTGAGTCCTAAACCTTTTGCATTGGTGCCAATTTAGTCCTAAACCTTTTGTATTTGTGCCAATTCAGTCCTTCCGATTAATTTAGCTCAAAAAGATTTAGGACTGAATTGACACAAATGCAAAGGTTTAGGACAATTGACACCAATGCAAAAGGTTTAGGACTGAATTGGCACCAATGCAAAAAGTTTAGGACTGAATTGACACCAAAAAAAGGTTTATGACTAAATTGGCACAAATGTAAAAGGTTTAGGACTAAATTGGCACTAATGCAAAAGGTTTAGGACTTTTTTGACACTTTTCCCTCCAATGCCCCATGGAACTTGCATTTTCTTAATATTGCTTAGCATTTTATTTTAAACAAGGCTATAGAAGGTTAATGCTGGAATCTGCGACTTGGTGATACTCTCACAAAACTCACTAGAAATGTTAGAATATCACGACTTGTTGGGATTTTCATCTGCAATTTGCCTCTATATGGAAATTAGGCTGGATAGAAGCCTTCCCTTTAAAGACCTAAAGGGAAGGTATTTGGAGGGTGAAATGCATGATAATGGAAGGATTTCCAATGAAATAGTCATTCTGATGCATCGATCTGCGTTATCAGATATATGAAAGGTGCTCCGAGAAAAGGATTACTGCATTATGGTGTCATCGGAGATACATAATGGACGATCTACAGAGCCATGACTTTAGCAACATGTGAGTTGATACGGTTTTAAAACATTGGGTTTAGGAGTTGGGCTTTACATGGACGAAACCGATGAAACTGATTTTTGACGATCTAAGTTGTACTGCGCATAATTTCGTTTTATGAAAGAACTAAACACATTGCTATCGATTGCCACTTTATTAGGAAAAAATTGGTTTCCAATGAAATCGCAACAACGTTCGTACACTTGGATGATCAAATTGTTGATTTGTTTACTAAATCCGTTCGTCGTCCGCACGTGAGTTACATTTGTAACAAGTTAGCACATACATATAAAATATACGTTCCAACTGGAGAGGAGGTGTTGAGTAATGATGTGTTTTTTAGTATAGGCATTTACGGGGGTATATTTGTAAGTACGCTTATATTGAATATTATAAATAGATGAAGGGGTGGCTAGAAAAGCCCAACCATTCAGTCTCCTTTTTTTTTTTTTTTGCTCTTTCACTTTGCTTTCATGGTATGAATAGAAGGCTGGCTTAAATTTATTATCAACATAATCACAATTGATACCTGTCTTTATGAAAGCCCTACGGAAGCGATTAGGGTCTCGACTTATGAAGTCAGCTCAACCTATTAGTGTGGTCCATCTTCAAATCAATTGTTGCTTAGTCAAAATCGGCTTCAAATGTACATCTATGTGCATCCCCTTTTAAAAAAAAAATTCCAATTAGCCTATGTGTGCGTTGCATAATTTCGATACTCTACGAATGTAAATAGCCTTGAAACTGCATTTGTAAGTCCTTATGACCAAAGTAGGCCAATAAAAACAAACAAATCACATCAATAATAGCACTTGCAACCAGCATAACCCTTTGTCCCAGCCATTGTAGCATGTGTATCACTTGGGCGATAAGGGGCATGATGACTTGACATCATATTTACCTTCCTCTAGCTTATCACCAGCAGTCTATTTAGGGTTACAAACTCAACAGTGGCAACTAAACACGAGGGTTATACTTGTTGCGGGACTAAACCCAACACCCTGTGGCACGAGCTGACGATAGCCATGTAATAACTTTTATGGATAAAAAGTGAGATATTTCCTTCTGCTGATACTAACGAAAGTCCAATCCTTGCCTTTACCCTCCCTTAGGTTAGTGAATAGTAGGGTAAGAAACCAACTCCAAGATGCCTCAGTCTCAGCTTGCCAAACTGCCCAAGCAATCAAAATTGCTTCCACCTCATCCAACAATAGATTACAACATACCCTTCAATCCATTCTTAAAGGAACGCCTATCCAAGCATATTGAATGTCTACATCCTCCTAAAAGTCCCATTTTCAACTCATCAAATAAAAAAATCATCAAACCCCACATAAAACCTTTCAAATACTTCGGTTGCTGGGTTGACTTTAAACTCAAATGTTCCTAATCTAGCTAACTCTCTTAAGCTCTTCCAGATAAGATCTGAACATACTGTATCGCTCCTCTATTTAGGCCCCTTTAAAATTGAGAGCGTTTCTAATGCTATATAACTATTTTTTATCTAGTTTTAGGGTAGATATTTTTCTTGTAACTACCTCCACCTCCATAGTTAAGTGAGCTTGGCTCTAATCCCATACATACATGAGCTAGCCATGTAATAGTGGTCTGCCTTTTTGTTAGGCCAGTTCAGTCCAGTCCAGGCGTTTCCCGGTTCGATCAGTCCATTTTGCTCACCCCTATCTAACATCTTATATTGATGAAATATGTGCAATCATGGAATATAGAGACTTTTTTTAAGTAATTGTTTCCTTTAAGAAGCTATTTGTATTAATGACTAATTTATTACTAATTTGCTAATGTTTATATTCTAAAATAGGGAAAAAGCCACAAAAAACCCCAAACTATGCCCACTTGACACATTTACCCCAAATTTTTTTGTGACATTAAAAACCCATTGTGATATATTTACCCTAAACTTTTTCTGGTGACATAAAAAACCCAAAACTTATTCATATGTGACACATTTACCCTTCGTCATGGTTCCGTTAAATGATCATTCAGCCAAAAAAATGTCATTTTTATTTCACTCCATGTCAACGCTCTTTGCTTTTCAACGTCCATGTAGGCAGATTTTCAATAGTTCTCATTAACAGAACTTTGACAGGTAAATGTGTCACACAGGTACAAGTTTAAGATTTTTTATACTATATAAAAAAAGTTAGGATAAATGTATTATAGTGGACATAATTTAGGATTTTTGGTGAATTTTGTCATATAAAATTTGTGCAATCATGTGGAATATAACCCACAGCCTTTTCTTTATATAGATATTTCAAAATAAAATCTTTATATATAAACAATTATTTTGAAATATTTATAACCAAAACATTCATAAAATGTATATCTATAATATCAAAATAGAATCTATACGTACCTAATCAGTATATGCATAATAATTACTTATTCAGAACTAGAGATACTCTAAAGAGTCAATACCACGAAAAACCTTAAACTGGTACACATGTAATAAATTTACTTCAAACTAATTATTTAACCAACAAAAACCCCAAACTAGTAAATCTATGACAAATTTACCCTTTGTTAGTTTCCGATAAATTTTACTATCAAATTACTGAGTGAGATGGCACGTGGCAGTTGACGGATGTACCAGTTTAGGATTTTAACTCCAAGTTGTGATTTTTCGTAATATTAATCCAATTTAACGGAAACTACCAAAGGGTAAATTTGTCACAAATATACTAGTTTGGGATTTTCGGTAGTCAAAATTAGTTTAGGGTAAATTTGTCATAGGTATACCAGTTTGGGTTTTTCGGTGGTCAAAGACTTAGTTTGGGGTAAATTTATCACAAGAATATTGATTTTAGGTTTTTCATGGAATTAACCCTACTATAAAATATGCGCAATATAAATTTTCAAACGTTTAATTTTTATTTATAGCTTTTCCTTTCTTTCTGTAATTTAGATGCAAGAAAGCCTTGTTAACTTTTAGTTTTTCTCTTTAAATTTTCGTTTTCTTTTTATACATAAATGCAGGAAAACCTTATTTTTTGAAATTTCAGCTTTACCTTTACATAGATACTTCAAAATATAACAAAAATATATATACACATACACAATTATTTCATAACAATTATTACCAAAATATCTGCAATCACGGATAACTTTTTTTGATCTAATTCTATATAGATAATGAACAGCAAAAGAGAATCTATAAAGTATGATTCACTAATATCCCAGGGGCACTCAACTTAAAAAAATATCGTCTTTACCTTGTAGGGTGTGTATGTGGACTATAAAGTATTCATTGGAGGTGATTGGTTCCTGGGCAATTTGGTTGCCACCTGGGAACCGAAAACCGGACCAAAGGGACCGGTTCTCGAGTGGGCCAATGGAACAAGTGACATGTTCTTTTTATTTATTTATTGTTATATTCTCTCGTTATATCGGTGTAATATCGTCATATCAGTGTTTAATGTATATTTTCAAATTAATTGTCTACCGTAGGTTCTAACTCTCAAGGGTTCTTATCATGGAGATAATTATGGAAGTACAATGACCATCATCCTATACTATACCAGCTTTATTCGGCAACCATGGTATGGTATTTGTTCATGAACATACATCAAACACCGAGCTAAGGGGTTGTGTTGTGAAGGAATGATTAGGGCTTTTTATTTTTACAGATTTGTTAAAAAAAATGATCCAATCCGGGTGGGCGGTTCCATATATGGAACTGAGAACCAGACCGGTGCCCCTGGGAACAGCTCAGAATTGGCCGGTTCGGTGCGATCTGACGGTTCTTTCTGCTCACCTCTAGTATTGGCTGAAGATGCAATGGCGTGATTTCTCAGGCCATTAACAATGTAATCCATCTAGAAAAAGAAAGAGCACCACATTAACTGCGAGGTAGGATTCGATGAAGAAATTTTAGCAAAAAAAAAAAAGGATTCGATGAAGAAAACGATGGAAAACCCCACAAAGTACGCCATGCGCTTCGGAAAAGTTTATTGAGGTTATCTCATCGTGGGGCTTCTGGTTCCCAGGTTACACCTCGTAACTGAGTACATCGTTGTACTTCGTGTCCCCCTGATAATGTCGAAATAATGATGCCCCTCTCGCTTGCAGAGTCCACATTGATGCTCTAAATCCTCGAAACCCCACCAGTTTTTCAATGCAAACTGAACCCAGCGGCCTAATCCAGAGCCTGTATCATGATTTACAGAGCATCCTATTAAATGACGCATGTGCAAAAGCTCATTTCGAGCGCTCCCATTGTGCATTTACTACAGAGGATAATATATCCAAAGTCCGGAGAAAGAAGGTATCGTGTTGACAGGTACTCTAATGGCACGGGTTAAGCATCTTTGACATCGTGTGAGGAAATTTTTGTGTATTGAGAACCGTAAATTTTCGTCATGGGAAGATTTGAAAGAGGTCTATTAGCAAATTCCCTTTCCTGTATTGGTGAATTTGTAAGGACGGATCGTCAAACTTTAGATGGTTGCGAAGATCCCGTCATTTACGCCTGTGAACTGTTGACCAAGCATCTAGGAGCAATTATTTTACAGAAGACAAGCTTTCCGGTGATGATCTATGAGGGCAGAGATGACTATTCTTAGGCCGTTGCCGTAAGCATCAGGACCATTCATGACCTCGACACTTGCGAATTCCATAGGATAGGAACGAGAGGAACTGGGATACGCATTATTGAAGTATAATACGAAAAGCACAGTTGCAAAATTTTGACATAACGCCAAAATGATGGAGCTCGCTACTTCCATATGCACATAATAATACAACAGGCATGACAACTAATTCTCTTATCTGCGGCACTACATTAAAACTATAGCCAAAGATTGTAGCACCCTCTAGATTATGGAGTTAGCTGCAACAGAGTTGTACAAATACATGCACGCTACTCTATCTATAGTACAAACATCCTAAGCGCACTCAAAAGGACAGGTAACAATAGCATGCGTTGTGAAGTTACATCGTCCATCTGCACCGCGAACAGCAACACATTTCTGGTATACTCTTCGAGTCCGCCCACTATAGCAACCCCAAAGTTGCTAGAAACTTCTGCAATGTCCTATGGCCCCATCGAATATCATTCCTCAATACATTATCTAAATTTCCAGGGCTGGTCTTCCCTTCTCTGTTGCCTATGTGAATAATCTGTTTGTGTTGATTATCAAGCTGTCCTTCGGCAAAAATCAGCGCGGTTTCTTCTTGGGATGGATTGCATCGAGGCTCTTGCTTTACACGCAAATGAATTCCTCATTAGAGAATCTTCGAAAAAGAGAAGCACACAGGTATTAATGCACGCACCACAGAAGAAAACACAACTCACATACCCAACTGTAATTGTGCGTGCTCGTGTGTGAGAGAGTTGAGAGAGAGAGAGTCAGATACATCAAAATCATAGTTGAGCAATGTCATCTGTGTCATAGACATCAAATTCATAGATGAACATTGTCATTTGTGTTGTATGACAACTTACAAACAACCCAGGCTTTCCATTTTTATCGACAGAAGAGCCTCGCTTTGTTCATGGCAGATACATTTACCATATTGGATATGTCAGTTGATCATTCGTGCAAATGTTTCAAGAATTCGACACTAGTGCTTGTGGCAATTACATAAGTTGGAAGAGTTGGTTCGTAGAGGCAAAATAAGCTATCTATGTGGCGCAGTGGTACAACGTTAAAGTGTTAACAGTTCCAATAGGATAGTAGCCATTGAAATATATTTTAATGTTTGACCCCTATAATGACCATGTATTCTGAAGAAAATTCAGCTTTGCTCCCGATTATTAAGCAGGAAAAAGTGGTTCTTATCATATAAGAAGCATTTTCTCTTCCAACTACTGGAGATGGATTGCGAGATTCTTGTATAAGCTACCCCCACTTTCAATCATGTGGAACAAAACATCCTTATGGAACTTATTTTTCACGAGAATACAAGCAAACAACAGAACACTTCCAATACCCAGTAGAATCTTCAAATCCTAGCTGGTTGCGTTCAATTGACAGGAGATGGAGTAACTTTTCTGGCCAATGCAAACTGGTAAAGTGGGAAGCAATAAAGCAGAGAATGCTCACACACTCGTCAAGCAGTTACCTCTGGTAATTTTGAACTTATAGCTTCATCAGGCCCACCAGAGGCATCACCTGCACTTCTTCGTCCTTCTTCACATCGATTTGACTCTTCTGTTAGCACCATTGATAAGGGAGTCAAGCCAGGAACCAGTACAGGAACTTCATCAATTGTAACTAGGTCACTTTGGAAATTCATGCTTGTCAAGTTATTGACTCCAGCTCTGCCATTGTTTCCAAGAACTTCGTGCGATGTGATCAGGTCCTCATTTTGGTAACCAATTCTCTTTTCACAGTGCACATTGTTAGTTGCATCTTTTGAAGACTGCTCCTGCTTCTGGAGAATATTATCTGCATAAAGAGCCACGGGCATCTCTTCTACCGGAGCAACGGTGTCGGGAAAAACTAAGTCATCATGTGCTTCCACCAGATGATTCTCTTCGGGGGAAGCACATATACCAGCAAAAGCTGATCGATTGCTGGGTTCTAGCATCACTTTTTCTCTCGATGGATTTGAGTTCTCTACTACTATCAACCTTTCTGAACCATTAGTAGGCTCCTCAACCTCAGCAAGGCTGTCCGATAATTCTTCCTCGGTAATCTTTTGTAATTCGGCAATTTCCCAATCTTCATAGATAGCGATTGTTTTATCAGTATCCCAGATTTTTAAAATCCGATCCGGATCTGGCTGCCACTGTATCTCTCCGTCTCCTTGTCTTAATATGAACTTGAATTGAGTATCTCTCCCAATAGGTATGTCCTATCCAAACACATTGCGGATATGAATAAAGCCCTGACAATCTACTATTTTTATTTGAAAGAAAGAAAACTCAAGTTCGTCTAGAATAAAAACTTACCAGCTCTACTGACCATATGTGTCCATCTGACCAGTCCAGTGGTACTGCACTTGATGGGTCCCATGACCCCAAGGCCGGATCATCCCCTACTACAAGAAATTGTTCTCCAAATTGACACTCTCTCTGTAGCTGAAATCTGATGTGCACTTTCCTCGAAGAACCTAAAAAATGGAGATGGAATTAACGAAATCAGGAATTCATCATATATCTGATTAGTAATGCCAAAACTTACATGTCTCTGTAGTCGCATCTTCTGCTGTCTCTAGGTCTGCTTGCAGTAGAGGATGCTGCAATAACCAAACATGAATTCCAGCTGTGAGACATATTACCATTTGAGCAACATAAGAACCGTAGCAATACTGTTTTCTCATAAGACCTAATATGGCTGTTGTACACATTCCATCTTATACTGTTTCTTCAATATTTCTGCAGAATGTCGAGAACCCCAGTTCGAGTAATTAACGTAGATATTATGGAAGAGAGCCTCTCGAGTCCGTCGGAGAAACTTTTTGTGCTCTTTCCATCGTCTGCTTTGCTATAGAGTAAGTTGGAAATCCTAAAAGCAGAAGCAGGAGATCCGATGAGTTTATCCGATTTGCACCAGCAAATCTCTACGAGCCACTAAAGTTACTACCTTTTGCATTTCAATACGAAAGATATGCACTTATATACGCTGACATGGACATATGGGAAGTTTTACGTGATTACAAAGGTCATCATGTAGTGGATTGAACGATCCCCAGAAGAGCAACACAGGGTCAAAGCAGAGTTTTTTTTATCGAGCTCTGCTTCCATGTCGCTCTTACTTTGATCTTTCTTTCTCTTGGCTTTTCATATTTGAGCTTTGCATTCTTGGTTTCGGACAAGTGATCCCAGATTTAAATAAGATGCCTCCACAAACGACAGCGCACAAGCGACGCCAATTTCATTATAGTTTAACCATTACATCCTCCTCCCTTGACCACTAAAATCTAAACGGAGGAGTAAAAGGTGCCTGAACTTTGCTTGCTTTGAATGCAAAGAAGCAAAACCAAGAAAAGCAAAAAAATAAAAAAATAAAAAACCGACTAATTTATAAGCAAAAACATTCCACTTTCATCATTCGTAAGCAAAGCGAATTCATCGCAAGCATCACCGATTCACCACAAAATTGCTATAAACCATTTTCACAATCAGAGAGAGAGAGAGAGAGAGAGAGAGAGAGAGAGAGACCTCGATGTTGGAAGAAAGAGAAGGAACCGGAGCGACGAGCTTGTGCGGAGCTGAGGTCAAACGGAAGAGTCCGAAGTCAGCGAGCCTCTGGGCTCGCGGGAAGCGAACGTCTGCTCCGGCAGCGACGTTCCCTCCGAACGGCGACGAGCAGCACGAACCCGCTCCGTCTCCGAACCGGTGGAACAAAACTTTCAAGCTGCGACTCGCGACAGCGTCCATCGCTCGCTCAAACTCCTCGGGATCGACTCACCTCACCTCAACTCACCTCACCTCACCTCGCCTCGCCCGCAAAGCTAACGCACGATCTCACGGAGAGCGCGAGAGAGAGAGAGAGAGAGGGGGAAAGCTGTGGAGGAAGGAAGAAGAGGTGGAGCTTCGTCCGTACGTGGCGTTTGGCGTTTGTCGGGGGCGCGGGTGTCGTAAATCGTTATCTGATTTTTTGCAAAGCTTTTATATAGTGGCGGGGCCCCTGGGGGGCCCTCGTCCCCTCCCCTCCCTCGTGAGAGACGATGGAGATGGAGATGGGAAGCAACGGATCTGATTCCACGCGGCGTGCCCCAGCGCATCAACGACGTCGGAATCTCCAACAGACTCCCGGAGGCTCTTCGATCGTTAGTTACTGCTGCCTCGAATCTGCGCCCTCCATTTAAAAAGCCAGGGGACTCGGGAATCGCGCGCGCCAGTGGCGCCACGTGTCGCCGGTCCCCTTCCCGCCCTTTTGGGGACCTAAGGGGGCGCTGAAATTGGTGAGGGAGGTCGCCCAAGACCGACGAGCCAGTGCGGACCAATCACGAGGGGGCGATGATGTTGACGTCCTTCATTTTGTTCTTTATTTTTCCAATTTTTTGACCGAGGTATCGACTACATCCTCCCCCTCCCCTTGTTTCGGTGGAGGTGACGGAAAAATTTCGAAAATTCATTTTGTTCTTTATTTTTCCAATTTTTGATTCTCCTCCCCCCCCGCGGTGTAGGTGACAAGCCATTTTGATCCGTTTCCGTGGATTACCATAACTAGCATGCCGGAAAGCAAATCAGCCTTGGCCGGGCTCCAAATCATTTTACTCGAGATCGATGCTAACTTCTGTAAATATAGTACACGTGTTTCGGTCCGATTTGTTACATAGTACTCGGATGATCGTTCGAATAGTTTTTGATATTGAAATGAACGGTCATACGACGGTTACGACACTTCTAATATCTTTTTTTTTTATGCTTAACAATAGCAAAAACCTTGCGTCATGATACTAGTACAAAAACAATCACTCCACTCGCCGAAAATAAGCCATCAAATAAGGAGTAGTTTCATCATTTTGTCAACCTTATTTAATAATATAATTTCAATTTAATTAGGCTTAAATATGAATTTGGCGACAACTTTTCTCTTTCTAGAAACACACTAACCCTGAGTCATGAGCAAGTAATTACTAATTTAAATGCGCGATATTTACTATACTTAAACTAAATTGGTGGACAGTGGTAAACAACACTTGAAATCATTTTTTATATTCACTCTAAAGGATTTAAGTATTCTTAATTTCGGAAAAATAATGATGAAACTCAGATGATAATAATAATAATAATAATAATAATAATAATAATAATAATAATAATAATAATAAGGGATAAGTACATTCAAAGTCCTAAAATTTGTCACGAAAATACAATTGAGTCCTAAAACTTTCATAATGTGCAATTAAGTCCTAAAACTTGTTAGGAAAGTGCAATTGAGTCCTAAAACTTTCAAAAGGTGCAAACAAGTCCTAAAACTTATCACGAAAGTGCAAACAAGTCCTAAAACTTATCAAATTTGTTCAATCAAGTCCTTCCATTGATTGCACTTTTTGAAAGTTTTAGGACTTGATTGCACCTTTGTGATAAGTTTTAGAACTTGATTGCACCTTCGTGATAAGTTTTTGGATTTGATTGCACTTTTTGAAAGTTTTAGGACTTGATTACACTTTCGTGACAAGTTTTAGGACTTGATCGCATTTTTTGAAAGTTTTAGGACTCAATTATACTTTCCTGACAAGTTTTAGTACTTCTAGTGTACTTATCCCTAATAATAATAATGTCGATAAACCACGATGCTGTCGGAGATTGAATTAGCACGAACTTGAGTTACGTAAGTTTCTGTAAGGAAGTTCAGATGTCGACAGTCTTTTGCAGAAGAAAGGCCAACACGAGGCCCGGCAGATTTTCATCTAATCAACACATATTAGGCCCAATAGAATTGGGACGACCATAAGCTAAGAAAGATAGGCAGAAACAACAGTTAAACTTTTGATTTTAATGTTGATTTCACATACTCTACTAGTGCTTGTACTAGTCATGCAATCTCAAAAGCTCCCACTACTGAAAGGTTGAAGCTATGACTGTCGGGGGGTTTCTCCTTTCTTTTGCAACCGAAAAGCCTTTTTTTCGTCGTTTTAATTCTTCGTAATCCATACGTTCGGGATGAAATCCGATCAATTTCCTAGTCAAATTGCTGACACGGAAGACATGCGTCTTTTATAAGATATCAGATCAGGGGGTCACTCTAACAAAAACATCTAAAAATTTGGAGAAGAAAAAACGAACGAGAAAAAGAGGTCATCGGCCCTCAGCTACCTAGCTTTCTAGCTATGGAAACCAAAGAATTAGTGAGTCTATATGGTTCTCACTTATGTGGAAGTAGAGATATGTTGCTCAATTTTATCACACCTAGACATGTGGAACTTTAGTTTGCAAAACAAGGACCTTGTTTTCCTTCAATCAAGGATAGGAATCCGTCATTCATAAGTGTCATTAATGATCAATATGTGATTTTAGCTAACAAAAGGGATAACCATAGGGCAAGTTATGAAACTTATAACATTCATAAATTTGAGTCCCAAAACTTTTACTTTGTTCATTTAAATCCTAAAACTTGCAGCTTTGAAGGTGAATGAACAGCTAAGAAGGGGTAGATCAAAAGACTACTTACGATTTCTTAATTGTTAGTAAATTTATTTATGTGGACATGATTTTTATTAACGAGTACCAATGATAAATTAAATGAGATGAGTCTTATAATAACCAGAGGAAAGCATGATCTTTCGGAAATGGAATTTGCTTATCCGAAAGGTGACCATTTTACTAGCTTCGCTGACGCATTGCATGACATCAATTTCGTGCCCAAAAAATAACATAATTTGGTATCGTGGGGTTATTTAGGTATTAACAAATGGGCGCACTATCAAGTTTCGTCGTTCCAAGTTTTATCAATCGATCGATTGATTCCGAATATGGTGAAGGCACCTTGATCGGGTCTAATATAAAGAGTAGATGTAATCATATTGCGAGTATCGGAACTTTGCCCTAATTCCAATCAAGTATCTAAACTTTTTATTTATTTATTTAAGTACCCTAACTCTCAAAATATGACTCGATGCGGGGCCTCCATTAAACGAGATGATTCAATCATGGGTGCCATCATTTTGTCTTTTCCTGGCCAAATAAAACTTTAGTCGTGGGTGACCCCATTACTAGACACCATTACATGCTCTGCTTATCCATAAACTAGAGGTTGTATGATTGTCAAAACAATCACGTGTTGACAATTTCGTCTTCTAGTTCCCAAATAATCAAGACGTAGCTTGTTTTTTTTTTTTTTTTTTGGTAAGGTCCGTAGCTTGTTTGTATAATCACATTATAAAGAAAACATAAGAGAAGGATATTAAATTAGGGGCCGACAATTCTTTCTAAGTATAGAAAAATCGAGGATAATCTTTGTATTAAACGAGAAGTAATGACGTGAACATGCACGCATAATATAATGGATTATTTGGAACTTATGAACATACAATCTATGTCCTACCAATAGTCCTACCAATAGTGGATCAAAATGGAAGGAACATGGTGGGGTATACTACTATGATTAACTTCATATTATCTAATCACGTGCTACCTACCGAGCTGACAAACATCGAGTATGAACTAATAATATTAATTTGACCAATGAAGATGTATATAACAAGTGCTCGATGGAATGAATACACTTTTGTTGGCTTGACTGACTTTCAGTGAGTCAATTGGTGAACGAACAACAATATGGTTTTTTTTTTTTTTTGTCGAAAGAAAGTTTATTAAATTCAACTAGGTAAATCAAAAGGGCTGGCTCACTAATTGGGTTTCAGTACATAAAAGATCCCAAAGAGCTTTTGGGGGTGAAGAGACGCAATTCTGTGGTAAGAGTATTTCTCCTACACGCATTCTCTCTAAGGCAATGGACCACCCGGATGTCTAAAAAGTGGACTAACGTTTTATAGCATTGAGCAATAAGTACACGGACTAACCAAGGGACTTGATCCGAGCTATGAACTGCGTTGGCTACCTCTAAGTTGTCTCAATTACCATCATTTCTTCATTACGGGACACAAGGAAAGTTAGGATTTGAAACAAAGCACCAGTCTCCCCTTGAAGTGCAGAGGACGCCTGAACTGATCTTGCAAAACCATAAGGGATTCTTCAAGCTGAATCGCGACAGATGCACACAATAGTTCCTTTCGTTGAACCAGATTGATCCATCTATATAGGTTTTCAAAGCCCCAATCTGTGGAGGATTCCATTGCTAAGAAGAACCAATTCTGTGATATTGAATTTCTCTTATCCAGTCTACATGTAGTTGGATTCCCAAGGAACCTGATCCAAGCTATGAACTGCGTTGACTACCTCAAAGCTGTCCGAATCAATTACCACCGTTTCTAGCTTGCGGGACAGAAGGAAAGTTAGGTTTGTTACCAGAGCACGAGCCTTCACTTGAAGTGCCGAGGACGGTTGAACCGATCTCGCAAAGCCATCAAGGATTCTTCCAGCTGAATCGCGACAAATGCACGCGATACTTCCTTCCATTGAACCGGGTTCGTATGATCCATCTATATCGATTTTCAAAGCCTCGATCTGTGGGGGGAGTCCATTGCTGAGAAGAACTAACTTCGATTCTCTCTGATTTATTGCCCTCGCACCCGGCGACCACCGCTGGGTCGCCCGCCTCGCGGCGCTCGGGTCGCGACCCGATCTGGATCGCACGACCCAAGCGCTGCGTGAGGTCGGGCGACCCCCAGCGGTGGTCGCCGGTCTGGCGACCCGGCGGTCGCCGGAGGTCGGCCGACCTCGAGCGAGGCCCGGCCAGATCGGCCGGCGGGAGGTTGGCCGGGCCGTTATGGCCTCCAGACGGCGCCGCAGGCTGGTTAGAAAAAAATTTTAAAAATATTAGAAAGTCCATTTCTTGAAAATGCCCTTCAAGTGGAGACTGGTAGATTTGGTGTCTTTTTCCGAAGATGATGTGATTGCGTGCTTTCCAGATGAACCGCAGATATGGGGCAACCAACTCCAAATCTGGTGAGTGAGCCGAACTAGGTGCATAAATCTCATATCCATGCTTCGATTCTCGATACTCTCTGCTTCGAAATGCGAATGTTAAGTTCTGAGGGTGTCCTAACTTCCTCTCGTTGTCTCAGTACAGCTTTCATTGCACAAAGCGCATCTCAGGTCAGGTATGATTTTTCGTTTAAATAAGTTGTCCATCGTTGGCAGTGCATTCTTGCACAAGTTCCACGTGAATAGCCTAACTTTTGGGACTGTCTGCATATTCCATATATCCTTCCATAGTTTGTGATAAGGGTTGAAAGGATGATTATGCATGGTTCTGGCTGGGCATATTCTCTACCTTTTTTTTATAAATTTATAGCCACTTTTGACTGAATATTTTCCTGATTGAGTCCCTCTCCAGAATAGTTGGTCTTTTGTTATCTGAGGCCTCACTAGCATTGTAATGATTTCTTTGACAGTACGCTCGTCAAAACTGCTCTGTGAAGACTGTAATTAAGTTCCATGCATTTTCCTCCCTAATGATCAAGTCAGCAACAAACTATGGTTCATCTCTTGGGGCAGGGCCCCATATCACCCCTCGTTTTAGCCATTTGCCTTCTCTGATTCTGATTTGTCTACCATTATTATCACCTACTTGACCACTGTACAATGTGAGAAATAGGATCCCTCCCCATTAACAACAGGCTCTGCTAACCCCCCGATAAGGACGTATTCATTCCTCTGCATGCCAAAAATCTCTTTGAGGACAATAAATTCCTTTTAACAACGGGCTCTTGAGTGAAGATGGAATCTGAGTTAGCCTCCAAGCCTATTTTCCCAGCGTATCCCTGAAGCCTAATCCTCCCAGATCCTTCCTAGTCTTTAGAATTTCCCATCTTTTCCGATGCAATCCAAACTTTTTTCTCGCTTAGTCTTCCACCATAATGAAGCAATTTTCTACCCAATTGTTTTACAAATGGAAAGGGGAATATTTAAAATGCACATAGCATATTATGGTAAGGTTTGCACCACCATTTTGATCAAAACTTCTTTTCCTGCTTTGGACATCAGTTTTTCTTTCCGCCCCCTAATTTAGCATTTTTTTTTTTTGCCCAAAAATTCATGCAAACATCTCTTTCTTGGATACTCCCCAATCTGATGGAATCCCAACTTATTTGCCCGTATCTTCAATTACAGGAACTCTTAATTCTCTTGCCATATTCATCTTTTAAGTTTTGAAGACAAAATTCAACTTTGGTTCTCTTTTGAGAAAAATGGTCATGCTTCGTGCCGTTATTTGAAATATTTCCTATATTTTGTTTGGTAAATAACTCTTCGTAAAACCAAATACAAGTATACAGTATGCAATTAAGTGTTCGATGTGTATTAATGAGAACAAGGGGAACACCGCACATAATGATAATGATTTTGAATTTGGAAATAACAAAGGAAAAAAAAAGCCAAATGAGTTCACAGCTCTTAAAGAGAAGGGTTAATACCACGAAATACTAAAACTGTCCGTGACAAATTTTCCCCGAACTAATTTTTTGATCACCAAAGACGACCACAAATTGGTACACCTGTGGCAAATTTACCCTCCGTTAATTTTCGTTAAATTTTATCAACAAATTATTGAGTTTGATGACGTGTGGCAGCTGACGGGTGAACCGATTTGATATTTTACCCTCCGTTTATCATAGGTGTACCGGTTTGTGATTTTTCGTAGTATCAATTCAATTCAACATAAACTAATGAAGGTATACCGGTTTGGGATTTTTTATGGTTAAAAAATTAATTTGAGGTAAATTTTTCCTAAGTGTGTCAGTTTGGGGTTTTTGGAAATCAAAAAATTAATTTGGAGTAAATTTATTATAAGTGTATTAATTTGAAATTTTTCGTGGTATTAATCTTAAAGAAAAAGATAGAAGAGGGAGGACGGTTTGCAAGGAAGGTGGTCGCCTCAAGATAACTTTACCTATCATAGAGATCCTTAGTTAATCGTAAGCAAACAAACTAGATTTTCTAGAAAAGGCGACAAATCCGTCTTTGAAAATTACCTTCCTGTCCTTTTATGGTATTAATCATTGTGGAGGTGGCGTGTCATGAAACCATGACCATTGCACACACGTGTTTAGAAGCAAGGATTTTCATGTGATGAATAAGATCGCATTGCACATCAAGAGCAATCATCAAATATTTCGTTTGATTTTTATTTTTGGCAATTGAATATGTTTTTATTTTTGGTCGTTCCTTAAATTCTAGATGGCAAGAACATAGAGTGAAATCATGGGTCACATCGAAAATGCGTTTCCGTCACTTCATTTAAATGCAATAAAGTCGTTTCGGGGGACCTTTTGGCAGCACGTGATGCTTCATGCAGTCTGGTCAATTTCGATGGCAATGGTCGATTCGATCCGATCCGATCCGATCCGACGTCGTTGCTGTGCCGTGTGCCCGTGGAAGGCGATAAGAATCATGTACAATTGTTAACTGATTTCGCTTCATTTATATAATCGTTGCCCGATTAATAAATTACTATATAAATAAATAATTTCTTTGCTCTTGAGCTCCAAAGAAAACTTTCGTCGGGGGGAGAAAACGTTAGGAGATGACGCGCTAACTTGAGTCTAGTCCAATATGTGGAAATGGTTACAACCCGTCAAAGAAGCTATGCAAGGTAAATAAATTGATTTTAAATTGAAAAGAAAAAAAATGAGACAAAGGTAAAGTCCATATAACACGGCACTGATCATCTTTCGCTGTTATTGCTAGTGGGGTCGACGGTTCACGTCGGGCCGATATCAGTGGGAGACCCGAACGCGAAGATTATATGACCCTTGTGACCCGACCCGCATAGACCCGGACAAAAAAAAAAAAAAAGAAGGGTTGGTAGGGGGTCGGGTTCGAGCCTTTCCGACGCCCCTCGTTACCGCGTTCTACAAGTCTCTCAATCCGGGTGCTAAGTCGCGATTAAACCGACGTGATTTAATTAATCTAGCGAGTTGCATATACCGCCGCAAATGAAATTCAAGAACCATAACCAAAGAAAAAGCGATTTTCACCGAGGATTCGCTAAATTCGTGCATGTCACCCGATTATGTTGCCATGGTACTCAAAGTAATGGAACATCAGATCAAATGTACATAAAATGTGTCGTCCGATTAACATACCAATGAACTCGGCCAAAAAATTTGGACGACTTTTCCACGGAGAAAGCAATGATAAATAAATAAATATATATATGTTTATATACTCGTGGGGCCACCTGCTTTGTTCATGGTTGTTTGTGCCAAATTTATTTATTTCCATTTTCGACCCCCAAAAGAATTTATTAATTTCCATCAGCGTCATCGGCCGCTCCACATAATCTTCCAAATAGATATAATACTAATTGTAACTTTCCCCCGATAATCACACGTAAAGAAAGGTTCAAAGGTTGAGGATAGACCAGGAGGTAAGACTGTCCGAAGTCCTCTGCCTCGGAACCCCTTTGAATCCAAGTTAGAAAAGAATCGAACACGCTAAAGCCCAGCCATCTTTGTTCTGACCGTCCCCGCGTTTCAGCTCGAGAGCTGCCATGAAAATTCCCAAGTTGTCCCGGAAGATGATCGATCGCCCGGCGGCCGTTGGTCGCGCCAAACCGTTCGCCTTCGCCGTGATAACGGTCGCCGCCGTCTTCTTGATCGTCTCCTCCTCGCACACCGCCATTTCTGAGGTCTCCCTGCTTTCGCTTCCCTTCAACGGCGCGGCCTCAGACCGACAAGAGGCCCGGAAGCCCGAATTCTTGATCCGTCCGTCGGCCGTCCGCTCCTTGCAACTCCAGTTTATCCGAGAAGAGTTCGGGGAAGCCGACGATGAGGATGATCCTGAAGATAGTTCGTCGTACCCTCTTGTCCCTCCGCTCAATGTCACGGAAGAGGAGAGAATCCGGTGGCTGCGCGAAAACCTGGTGAATTTCGACATACTCAAGTCCGACAACCAGACCCGGAAGTTCCATTCCCGCGTCGCGAGGTTCCTCGGCCAGGGATGCTCGCTGCAGTTCTTCATGACGTGGATTTCGCCGGCAAGCTCCTTTGGGAGCAGGGAGCTCCTCGGCGTCGAGAGCCTCTTCCGAGCCCATCCAGACGGATGCCTAGTGATCGTGTCGAGGACGATGGACTCGAGAAGAGGGCGCAAGATCCTGAAACCCGTGACTGACCTCGGGTTCAAGGTCCTGGCGGCGACCCCGGACTTGCCCCAGCTGCTCAGGATGACCCCGGCCAAAGCCTGGTTCGACGAGCTGAGGAAAGGCAACAAAGACCCCGGCGAAATCCCGTTAGCCCAGAACCTCTCCAACCTCATAAGACTCGCCATCCTGTACAGATATGGCGGCGTCTACTTGGACACGGACTTCATAATCCTGAAGGACATAAGTTCGCTGAGGAATTGCATCGGAGCGCAGAGCGTGGACACAGCCTCGGGGAAATGGACGAGGCTGAACAACGCGGCGATGGTGTTCGACAGACACCATCCACTCTTGCACAAGTTCATCCAGGAGTTTGCTTTAACGTTTGATGGGAACAAGTGGGGTCACAACGGGCCTTACTTGGTGTCCCGGGTCGTGGAGAGAGTGAAATCGAGAATCGGATACAGAGGCAAGTTCAGCGTGATGCCCCCCATGGCTTTTTATCCGGTCGGGTGGACCCATATCGGCAGCCTATTCAAGAGCCCCGAGAGCAGAGGCGACGCGAGGTGGGTCGAGGCCAAGATCGCACAGCTAAGTGAGGACACTTACGGGGTTCATCTGTGGAACAAGCAGAGCAGGGGATTGAGGATTGAAGAGGGAAGTGTGATGGCGAGGTTGACCTCGGGCAACTGCGTGGTTTGCCATAGCATTTATAGCTCTTGATCCATCATCATCTGGGGTCTAGACATAGCAAATTCAGTTGAATTGATTTGATTCCTCATCAGTCATCATCCCCACCAAAACTAAACGCTGAAGCTTTATGGTGCCTTTAGCAAAAGTATCGGCAGCACCAGAAACTTTTCCTTTCTTTCCACTTTTTGACTTTTGTAATCTTCTTTCCTTATTTCTTTTCTTGATTCTTATATCCCTTCCTACAATATCCCTTCGGTTCTTGCCCCGCATGGGCCACATGTAAATGATGCAACAGTTTTATCTGATAATCTTGCAGATGACAAACTCGAAATGTAATGGAATTTGAGATAATCATTTACTGTTCTCTTTCCTGTCAGCTATCATAATCTATTGGTCAAGTCACACGTGATAAACAAGAAGAAGGCCCCAGTCGTAGCTTTGCCACTTCAGCAGATACATGCGGGAACCAAAGTTCAGGTCTCTGTTTCTTTCTTACTTATCCACACGCAATTGAACAACAAAGCTGAATCAAGTAATCCAGGAAGTTTACCAAGTAAGAAGCTATTGAGATTTAACTACCCCCAACTCTAATCTACACTGCACATCCGAGACTGTTATTCTAGTTTGTTTCCTAAGTTTTTCAGAATTTCCTGCCACAGATCATGATCCTGAGCCTTCTCAGCCGCAATCGAAACCTAAAACCTCTCCACCTCCACGTCCCGAAACCAGGCAACCTCCTGAACGACCTCTTCCTCTTCAACTTCCTGTCGTTGCTCACCGCTCTCCTCGTCGTGTTCGTCTTCTTCCCTTCTTCCACAAAACTGGTACCGTGCGAGGCGAACTCACTGAGCCCACAACTCCCGGACTCGTTCCTCCTCGCACTTTCATAATGCCTGGCGGCTTTAATGGAATCCCAGGGATCGGGAAACCGGTCGGCATCGGAGTCGCTGCTACCCCACAGCGGGACGGTCTTCACGACCGGCGTGGCGCTGTACTCGTCCAGATAGTCGGCCAAGCTCGTGTGCTCCATGTCGAACAGCCTCTGCAGCGAGGTGCTTCCCGACTTCATGAGCTCCATCAAGCTGCTGCTTCTGCGAGCGGAAGAGAGCGACGAGCGCGATGCGGCGGCGGCGGCTGCTGAAGAGGAAGTAGACAGAGAAGATGATGAAGACCAGTACAGGGACTTCTGGTACTCTATTATCTGCCTGATCCTCCTCGTTTGAGTCTCGGCATCCACGGACAAGCTTGGAGTTTCTTGTTCCTGCTCTTCAGCTTCGTCGCCGTCCTTCTCTTCTGTAATTTCTGAGATCACCATAGTTCTCGTGTCGTGATGGAATGAGCGGAATTGTTCGGTTCGATGACGAGGAGAATTCGCGGTGAGTTCGTGTTTGAGACTGCTAAAACTTCAATAAAGAAGATTGTTTTTGCCGGCGAAAGGATGTGATCTTTTTTGTACTTCTCTTCGTTCTCTAGCAACTTAAGCGTCTTGCTTCAGACAAGGCAAGACCGTACTCAAGCATGACGCATTGTATCCTTCCAAAAAAATATATATGAATTGTATAGCGAGCCGCCATGTATGTGGAGAATGGAAATGTTCACAGGTAGACTAGTACTAGATCGGCCGAGCGGGACTCCGACGATTGCGCCATCATTTTATTCCTAGGGAGCTTTTATTCCACCGTAGTTTACTTTGGTTATTGTATCCGATTGTCGCCAATGGAGAAAAGAACAGTAATTTTACGCTCACTTTAATGATAAAAGTTTTCGGAATCTCTTTCTTCTTCTGGAAATGCTAGAATGATTTGATGTTGCCTTCGGCACCTTGGCCCAACCCTAGAAAATGAACCTTAAAATGGAATTCTTTATAGAAATCTGATAATCCAAACTTAGATTTCCATAATCAACTTCTTCTTCGTCTTCGAGAGATTGATCTTCTTCTTTTTCTTCTTCGCCGTTTACCTTGGCGCAAATCCGAAGCAGAGCTTGTTCGGACTGGCAAGGCAATCAGAATCGATAAGGAAGTGGGGAGCGAGGGAGGTGTGGAGACCAGATCGAGCTTTGCGAGCAGTCGAAGCCAAAGGACGAGTTGTCCTGAAACTTGTGGGAGGAGGTCTCGGGACATCCCGGATACTCCATCACCTTGCAGGCGTTGGCTACGAGACCGAGGCTCTCTTCTTCGTCAATGTCAAAGCCACAGACAGCCTCCACGCCTGCAGGCGTTCGCAATGAGACCGAGGCTAGGCCGAACGCTTTGGGTGCAGAGGGAATTAACGATATTTTCGAACGATCCATAAATATACTTCATCATTGGGAGGTTTGGATTTCCTTTTTAGTGTGATCCAAAATTGCCTACTGGTGTGAATTTAATAACTTTTATTTTTCGGTTAGTACAATCAAGGGGGATAGTACAAGGAGACGGTACCCAATTTGACTGTTTTTTTACCAACATGTTAAAACTCCTTTTCTATTTTCGCTCCTATGTTTTGAAGAGTTAACTTAGCACGCGCGGTCTTATCTCGGTTTCACTTTAAATAATCAAATGAACATAATTCCGCTAATAATAATATTTTGCATTTTATGTAAGAAAAATATACAAAATTTGTGTATGCGGGTTTCCAATAGTAAAAGAAGGTAGAGATATCAACTATTAAGTTAAAAGGCAACGGAGTTCCTCCAACTTTTCTTCCTTCTGGTGCAATTGGATCCATAAACTATATGCTTTTTTTAATTCAAGTTAGTCCTTCCGTCAAAATTATGGACTAAAATGCTCATGTAAATGTTAAGTCACCCTTGAATGTTGATGTGGTGTCCTACTGATATTTTAAAAATAAAAAAACCTTTAGAAACGATGAATATTGAAAAAACATGATAAATATTTAGAAATAGAAAAAGGCCCAAGTCACACGACCTAAGCTTACATCAAATTGGGGATAGTGACCCTCAGCTACGTAGTGCTAAGGTCACAAGATCCCAACAATCAACAGCTAGGGCCGTTCGATTCCCAAGCAATGCCCGGTAGGCTCGCACGACCCTGGCAATTGACGACCAGGGCTGCTTAGGCCAAATTTGGCCCTGACTATGACGAGGGATTGACGGCCCTCACCGGCATGTGGGCATCATCAGAGCCACCCTCTCTCTCTCTAAGAAAATTTCAAGATTTTATCTAGTCAACTTATGATAATTACGCACCAATTTATCCAGTCTGCATTGACGTGAGGCTTATATGTCCGTCCATGTCCGAATTTCTGTCCTTATTTTAAAGAAAGGACCAATTCGAACAAAAAACATATACTTCAAGAACCCAATTGCACGACAAAATAAATTAATAGCAGGACCTAATTAAACAATTTGAAAAAATTCCAAAACTTGTATTACCTTTATCCCAAGATGTGGTAACTGATGACGCCGTGATCTTACCGTAAGGGACCCTTTCCAGACAAGGTATAAATTGCTATGCATTTTCAACTTTAGTGGAGTTCTGATTGGGCAGACAGTTACAAGATGATAGAATACACATGAAACGCTAAGAAAGGTTAGCATCCACCAAACCTTTAGATAAAGATAAACTACAAATAGAGTCAAAAGCCATCACGAGTTTTCTTTTTTGGCCGCATTGATATTTCGACCCTATATTTGACCTTTTAAGTTGCCAATAATTGTAGCTTCCTTTCCTTTAACTATTATGAAGCTGGGGACACTGCTATGCCCGGCAGCTAATAAAGTTCAGAAAGGTTCGTGTCCTTTGCTAGTATTTGCCTCCTCTTAAACAGCCGATGAGGTGATCAACTAATCATGTCCTAATCAAGTTTTAAACCAGCACTTGTGCAAAACAACTGACCATGTTTCACGGAAAAGAATTCAGACTCCAAGTAACAGTGGGTAAATGTCCAAATACCCGATGACCCAATGAGTTTGAATCGTCCACAGGGCAGTGTGCATCCGATGGTCGGAGACGAGATAGACATCCATCCATGAAATGAACTGTATAACTGGAAGAGCTGACCTCAATCATCTAGCCTCAAACGATAAAGCTGGGCCCTTGAAATTGACCCTTTCCAGCACAGCAAGACTTGAAAAACCACGAACAAAGACTACCTCCCCCACCAACGATGAAAGGCACCGTGCAGATGAACCATGCCCACCATCAAATCAACCAGCCATCAATGATTACAATCCAGAAACAGAACTAAACAGTTGAATTCTCAACGTCAAATTCAGCCCTAATCTCTATTAAACCTCTTGCAAAGACTTCATTCGCACGTTCAAATCTGATTAAGATCAGCTTTGACAATACCACTGGCCCCAGTCCTACTCGCGCATATATATATATATGCCCAACACGGCATTTGCGGGCCCTTCCGGTAAAAAAAATTTTTTTTTTCAAATTCCGAAACAGCCAAATTCAAACCCAGAAACGAAAACACAAATAAGACATTTAGATTAAACCCGAAACGGTTTTTCAAAGTCCCAGGACATGAACAAGCATTGCTCCGTCCCGACCGCCCTACAACAACACCAGCCTAGTTCCGGACCGCACAGATTTACAGAAGCAACCCCATCTAAAGACGACGAACAAAAACCACCGAGGAAAAAAGAAAGAGCGCTCAGCCGCCGAAGCCGTACAGGGTCCGGCCCTGCCTCTTGAGGGCGTACACGACGTCCATGGCGGTGACCGTCTTCCGGCGGGCGTGCTCGGTGTAGGTCACGGCGTCGCGGATCACGTTCTCCAGGAAGATCTTCAGCACCCCGCGGGTCTCCTCGTAGATCAGCCCGCTGATGCGCTTCACGCCGCCCCGCCGGGCCAGACGCCGGATCGCCGGCTTCGTGATGCCCTGGATGTTGTCGCGCAGCACCTTCCTGTGCCGCTTCGCGCCGCCCTTGCCCAGCCCCTTGCCTCCCTTCCCGCGGCCCGACATCTCCTCCCCCCTCTCCTTTTTTTTCCTCGAGAAAAAAAGCGCGAGAAAGCGAGGGAAAATTTTCTGGATCCTTAGGGTTTGAGGAAAAGGAAGTTGTGTTCTTTGGAGCGAGATGGGAGAGGGTAGAGGAGATTTTGGGAATTTTATAGAGCGGGCTGGACGGATGGCTCGGCCCCCGCGCGGCAATTTGTCTCTTGACTTGAGCGGTGAGGCAGGGGGGAGCGTTGGATTGGATCGCCCTGGACGGTTCAGATTTGCGATCTCCGTCCTTGAGCTGTTCAGGTGCTGCTCAGGTTTTCATTGGTTCATTGTGGTTAGTCCGGATCGCTGACATGGCAGCTCAGTGGAATACTTTTTTATTTTTATTTTTATTTTTATTTTGACTCTTGTGGCTCCGCCTTTCCCTCCTCGCTCTCTAATTTGCAGTTCGGTCTTTTCATGCTTCGAATTTTGTAAACTGAGCTACTCGATTGAAAATTTTTTTAGTAGATTCATTGTTGATTATAAAAATAGTTTACATATTTATTGTCGGATAATTCACATGTGAAAGAATTCGGTTACAAAAGATAATTTTATATACACATGTCATTCATTCAATGATAAATGTGTTAACTACTTTTTTACACCGAGAATAGATCTAACAATAATCCTCAAAGTCAAATAAGTTTGAAAAGACCAAGTTTCGACTCCGGTTTCCATAAAAACGAAATTCAGTTTTTAGATAATCAAACAAACTATAATATCATTTGGCAAAATTAAAAACTGAAAAATTATCCAAAAAATCGTAAACTTATTGTGTGAAGGCTAATTCAATCCTAAATTTTTCAATTTGGCCAATTTAGTCCTAAATGTTTTAACGATTTTCCAATGTTGTCCTCTCGATATCCACGTCAGCGATTTCCAGTCAAAATTAGCCAAAATGACTATATTGAAAAATTATCAAAAAGCTTATGACTAAATTTGTTAAATTGAAAAGTTTAAAATTGAATTAACCGTCATACAATAATTTCAGCACGTGCAAGCTATAATATCGAGAAGGGATTATCCGATTTTTAGTCCGTTTATGTCAATTGTGCATTGATTTCTCCAACTAATTTGTATAATCAAATTTCTTAAGTTGTGTATAAAACAAAAACAAATCCGAGAGAGAGAGAAACATAAAATACGAGAGAGGGAAGGAGATAACGGTGGCAACCACCACCAAGGGTCCAACAACCGCAGCACCATTGTCGCTTGACGCCGACGAGACCCGCCTTCAGGTCACACAACCCCAAAATAACTCTGAGGTTGGGAGAGAGAGAGAGAGGATCCCACTCACGCCTTTCAAGACCCTCATTTCACTAATGTCCTATAATGCTCAAAGGTTTTGAATCTCCAATTTAAGAAGGGTCTTGTTAACAAGTACTCCGAGACATTATTAAGCATGTATAGTCTGAAGTGATCGGAAAAATATTAGTTTTACGTAAAATTTTCTTAATTGATTATATAATAGGTGTCTGAAAGCACTGATTGACAAAAACCAGCTCACATATCTCTTTCACATATCCCTGTTAACTATATTCTGAAATGCTCGGAGGCAATCTTAAACTAAAGTACAAAGTCGACCCCATCTCTAATTGCAGCCAAATATCTGTTCTTCGGGCCGGACCAAGGTGAGATTTACGTTGTAAAGGGGAAGATGACCCTCGCTCAGTGTCGCTTGACCAATCTTCCCTCAAACTTACCCGCTCTATCACTTACTTTCATTTTTCTTTTCTTTTCTTTTTTCTGTTTTCAATTATTATGATGTTTTCATTCATATTTTTATAGTCTTTTTAGCTATTCTCTCTTTTTTTTTTGAAGCTTCAATTTGTTGTCAACGACCATGTGAGAATTATTTAAGCATATTGAAGACAAAAAGACTCAAATGCAAAAAATCACGCGAGTTAAGAATTTCAATTGGACATGCTCGACATGAATTACAGGACCAAAAAACGAAGTCATTTCTATCGAGAACCTATGTAGCATGGTACAATGTACTACAAGCACTTTAAATGGGAGTAAAGAGGTACACAAGCAGTTTTGTCCGATTTTTCCGATTCTCTCGCATGGAAGAGAGGTTGTATAGTATGTAACCACAGTACTTGAGCTATTGAGTACTTTTTTAACTGAAATTATTCAAGTAATAGAGCATCTTTAAGGCCTGCCAAACACATTTTCATATCAACTGCTGAAATTTTTCAACACTTCATCAAATTATCAAGCATGCTCTAAGCCATACCGATCTGAAAAATTTAGTACAGCAATCTATTCCGAGAGTTTTAACCCTCATATATAATATTGGCTACTAAGTTCTAGCTTTTGTATAACAATTTGATTACAAGAAAAAGCTCACGATTAGTCCACCTGTAAAATTGAAAACAGAAGTTCGTGTGCGAACCAAATGCGTCCCAACCCCCGATCCTAGGAGATGTGTTCAGAAATCCTCATTTCTGCAAAACAATATTTGCACAAACAAATAGGGCCTATGCATTTCGACCGTCAGATCATACGGGTGTGGAGTGAGACCCGCAAAATTCAACTGGATGAATTTGATCTGGGATCATTCAAGAACAGTACCATTGCTCCCCCCAGCTTTTAACATGCACTTTTGGCTTTCAAAGTAAAAATACACTTGAAAAATGTCAAATCTATATGCTGAACGAGGAGTATATAAATATATCATAATATGATGCTAAATGTTTCTAAGCACCATTTGACAAACCATCATAGATCAAGCCAAACTTGAAAAGGCAAACTAAAAAATCAGGAGATAATTTGAATGCCATTATAATTTCCACATTATGTTAGTTGACGAGTGGCTTTTGTTTTTGACTTAAGTTGGAATAGGACTTCTGGTTAATATTGAACATCTCAAATAAAAACCTCAATTTTTATTTTTATTTTGTTTTTTTTGCTGGCAGTTGAAAAAGGTCTTTTAGGTTGACTGAAAAGATCCAAGTCAATAGACATGACTGTTCACAAATTACATAGTTTTTACAATCTCAAATGGAAGTCTTTAGAAAATCCTGCACTTATGTACATGAAAGACCCAATAACTCTGTGCATCCCACCTTTAAGTTTCACTCTACGACACTTTTCAACAGACATGACTGTTCACAAATTACACTATATAGATCGGTTATTGGACCAACGAACTTCAATAAGTTACTCAATACATCTGCCAAACAGGTCGCTACTTAACATATATCTGCAGAATGCAAACTCCATAAAGGAATCCCGATTGGAATGACTAACCTCTTCCTTCAAATCCGTGACATTTCACGTAAATGTTTTGTACATAATCACTATCGATTCAGGAAGGCGAGGCTGGTAATTTCCACATTTAACGAAACCAACTCAACAGACCAAACGCAAGTAAAATCCAACATGTTTCCAATTGTTTGTGGATCGCCCTTAGAATACACTTCCATACCGAATGCAGTGGTAAGACCATTGATGATTGTACTGCGGGCGTGCTGTTTTGGAGCATACACTGTCTCGTTTCATATCTAAACTTTATGCTAGTGCCTCTATGTACCAAAAGATAAATGTTTCACGAAGAACATTCTTATGCCAGTGCCAGTCACAAAGCTAGTCCTGATGATGGTCCAGGCAATGAACCAACAGGTAAAACCTCCAGATCTAATCATTGCCGATAACTAGTAGACAAATCGACTACTTCCTCATATAATCCCTTTTGATTCGAGTCAAAAAGCTTGTCTTATTGGCAATAGCAGTGACTATCATCTTCTGCTATTCCTTGCGGTAACCGGTTGCTTTCAGGAGTTAGGACCAAGGAAGCGGTTGCCTCAATTTCATATTTACTAATTTTCACATGAAATGCCTATTTACGGCAAGGTGATATAAGAGGCTGAGTTGGAGGGTGGTAACTACCTCCCGTGGCTTCCTGAGTGCTACCAGAAAACAAAGGCTGCACTAGCGAAACAACTGAAATGCAGGATGACTCAAGTAAACGGCAAACTTGCGACAAACAAGCTAAATGGTGGTGGGAACGAAAGAAGAGAAATAACATAATCCTCAGTGCTATTTCGATTCAACACTATAATTTTCCGATTCAGAAAACTGATGTTTAAAAGCTCAACTTTGTCAGATAGTTTGCTCTGGCAAAAACAAAGGGAGAGTGCAAAGAAGCCCAAGATCAAACCGCGCTTACTACAGGCAAGGCTGCTCAAAGGAAATGCAGAGAGCAAGAATCTTTGAAACATTGGACAGAAGGCCCCCCGAAGACCTCCAGCCAATTTTTTTGTTTTACAGAAGCCACACGATTATCACCAGCATAGATTCAAAATCATTTTGAGTCCACTATATTGCCTCCAAAATTCTCTAATAGTAAAGCATAATGAGAATCTCATCCTCGAAAATTTAAGTTAAACCCACAGAAAGATAGCATTCTTTCTCTATTGTGATAGACGATCTTCCCAAGTAAGATGGTAGAACTAATTCTAACCTTTTGCCCCGACATATTTCCAGGTGAAACAGACCACTCATCCAAATTTTATTTCTGCATAAGCTAACTATGTCAAAACTTTTCTTAGCATCTAATATGCTACATAGTGACTGACCCAAGTTTAATGAACTAAGTCCGACTAAATTACCGCGACTAATTCGTCAAAAACTTTTTGCTGATTGTCAGCTTCTAGTTGTTTCGGCTAACCTGGAATGATGAAGTCTGACAACTTCAACAATCAAGACAAAGAAGCATGAAATCAGAGCATATATTGACCGCCTTGCGATCGAAAATTTCACTTAAGCATGTATCGACGAAACAGTAACGCCAACGAATGCATTTGGAGGGTAAAAGAGATTACATCGACCATGAAATGAACAAGCTTTGCCCGAAATCAATTAGTGAAGAGGGACTCGTCGATCTCGATCTTGATAACCTCGCCGTCGTCGAACCGGTCCTTCCTCGGAGGGGCAGGAGGAGCAGCCACCCGCGGCGGACCTCTCCCTTTCTTCTTGTCCCGCGGCCTCGCCTGCACCACAATCCCGACAGATTCCGACGAGGAAAAAGCGAAAAAATTTCAAAAGCTCGCACACAATCGACAAGAACGAATCAAACTCGAATCCCTCGACGAAAAGGGGCCGAGGGAACTCACATTGCCGAAGGAGTGGTTGAAGCGCTTCCCCTTGGCGGTCTTCCTGTCGCCTCTGCCGCAGTACACTGAGAGAGAGAGAGAGCCGGAAGACAGAGGAAACGCAAAACCAAAGAATCAGGCGAACGCGAGACCGAGAATCGCCGGCGGCAGGCACGCGGTGGGGGGGGAGGGGGAGAGATGAAGCGGGGAGTTTTGCTTACCGAGGGGGACGGACGGAGCGGCGGCGGCGGCGGGGAGAGAGAGGGAAGCGCGGGGATCGGTGGAGAGAGAAGCGCCTAGGGTCTGGGAATGAGAGAAGGCGATGCGGGGAGAGAGGGCGGAGGGCGACGGAGATGCGACGGAGGGAGGTCGGAGCAGGAGGGACGCCATGGTTGAAGGGGATAAGGTCGTTTCCGAACGTTGCTGGTTGTCCCTCTTTATCCCCAAATTTCTTCGGCTTATTTCACGAAAAACTGAGGGATGAATAAGTAAATAAGGTTTCAGTTTTTTCATAAAAATAATCGTCTATATCGCATGAGATAATTAATTAATAAAAAATATTTATTTTCGATAAAAATTAATATATAAATATTCTTGTGAATGATAAGAATATTTTTCGTCAAATTATTTTTTGTAAGCGATACGATCAATCATTTTTAGGAAAATATTTTTCATATCATTCATTTTTTGATAAATAAACGTAGCCCAAAAGTAATTAGTTCTTTTTGTTACGGTGAACTTTATGAATCTAGTCAAGCTAATTTGAGTTTCAACTAAAGTCGATCGACTAATCGAGTCATGCTCGAGTGTTAATCCATGTGGAGTACACCTGACTTACACTCTTGTATGTTCTAACCTTTTTCTATATATATTAGAAATGATATCCTTGATCCCTATATTTCGAGAAAGTTCATCTTTGATCCTTAACACTTTCTTTCATCGCTATTTTAGTCTTTGTATTAAGCTTCGGCGACAACTTCAGTCTTTTTACCAATTTGATTACGTGTACATGCCTCTCTATAAAAAAAAATACACCATCGGTCCTTATTTTCAGAAGTGTCGTTTTAATTTGTTTGTTTTCCTACGAGAGCAATCCCCATGATATTCGCTACTCGCTTTATTGTTTCCTACTGCTCATTTACAATACCAAAAAAAACATTTTTGAAAAATATTAAGCAGGGCGATACATGATTTCATAGGTTAATATTATCTTTCCTTTTCTCAACCATTTATATAATCCGTCGGAGTTAAGTACAATTTCGACTCTCGTGATTTTGTGATTTTTGCTATCTGGTCCTTTTACTTGTTTTCGATGCAACCGAGTCCCATAAGTTTTGTGAATCATGCAATCAAATTCTTATCTATTAACCAATAGTCACTCAATTAATTCGATGAACCGACATGGCGAAAATTGACCCCGTAATGTTGGTGCGACGCTAACAAGTGCCACATCAGTATAAAATGTGCAAGCCACATCGACATGCACCTACTGCCATGTAATGTTCCTGTGGCCGGGCCCGAGCCAAAGTCGGGCGGGTCGGACCTTTCAGTATAAGCTCGTTGCCCAAGCCTTCCCATTTGTCTTCAAGACATCTTGAGTTGGACAGGCCCGGCGGGCCGTTCATCGGTTGACCCGATCCATTAGCCGAGTGGATCTGGATCCGGGTTAAAGGCCGGTAGCTTTAAACGTGTGGATTGCTGAATGAGTGGGTCGAGAATGGGTCACCTAACCCGACGAGGGTAGAAGACTTTATGATTTTCTTGGGCTACTTCAACAACCCATTTAGAAAGGAATCAAGTTCACAAATTTTGAGACCGGGACCTATAAAGTCAAACACTAAACCGGGTCGAAAAGTCCATGACCCGCATTGCCACCCCCTTCCATGTATTGACAGAGACATCAACAACACTTGAAGGCGGAGCCCCGAGTACAAAATGATGATCGATGAGAAAGTAAAAAGGTTTCGAAAATTTGCGTCAATGTCCCATTTAAGAACTTCGAATAAAAGAAAAGAAAAGAAAAGAAAAGTCTTAATCCAATTCATGCTTCCAAGTATTGGCTAAGGAAAAAATTTATCATGGTTTATCCAGTAACCATACTTTTCCTTTGGGTTTTCTCAATTGATTTCGGAAAATTCTGCATTAATTGCTATGGGTGGGGCATGGCATGGGTGGGAGCAATCTCGAGTATGTTAACATCCGCCCCAAAGATCGCCCTTTCGAGTAGCCTATGTGGACATTTAACCTACCGGATTTCATCATATCGCTTAACGATAACAACGTATGACCCCTCTTTCAATAAATTAGCAGTTCAGGACAAACCGGATAGACGGACTAGGGAAATGCACGTCTCTTTGTAAGTTTTTGGGATGGCAAAATGGGCAGGAAATGAAATAGGTAAGAAAGTACCACCTAGCACTGCAGGTCATCGTTACGGATGTTGTTTCATAAGCCAAGAAAGCTTTTGCCATTTGAAATTATGCATGAAGTGACTCTAAATTCTACCCTCAAAGTTCACCGCTTGGGAGAGTTCGGCTCACGCGAATCGGATCGAATAGGAAATATAAACGCGACAAAGGCACGACATGGGCATGAGATATAGCCCCTTAGAGCTTGTCCCATAACATGTCAGGAAGTAGTTGTAATGAATTCAGGCCGTACGGGGGTTTGCACTGCCCGAATGCTGGCACTAAGGAAAAAGGGCGGGGGCCTACTTATATTCTACTAATACATCGTTATAATGACGAGACAAGCAATGCTCGTTTAGAATTACAAAAAAAAATAAAGGCATCCCTTTGCTTTTCTGTCAAAAATTCAAAGTACTATTAAAATTCAAAAAATTATCGCACAAGTAATATATGAATCTCCCCGTATCAACATTTGCATATTATGAAAATTTCAAGTGTCTAGAGTTAGGAAAAAGTCCAAATACTTCCGCCGCAAATTTTAAATCAAGTAGAATCTACATGTGCACGTTAATGAGCCATATGATGAAAGGCCGGTCCATCCCCCTATAGAGAATCTAGGCTCAAAAGGGCTACGAAAAAACTTGTCCCCCCATCCACGCATCCGCTAGGGTCATGCCACGTGCGACGATCAAGACGAAGTGATAATTATTGAGGTAGTAACGATATGTGTTTCGTTTACGAAATATTCGTGTCGTTTGATGCCCTATGGAACATGCTATTAATCATTAATCAGTGAGCATATATTTCTAATTAATTCGTACCACAAGGACAAAGCCGAAACTCAAAAAGCAGCTGCAGAAATTGGAGCCTATTAATCTATTCCTTAATTAATTAATACCAAAAGGAATCTTCATCATTCAACACACTCTATATATATATATATATATATATAGATTACCACCTAAATTAACAAATAAAAAATAAATGGAAGCGCCAATATTAAAGAGAAATCAAAAATAAAAGTAGCAAACTACCCAACCGCACACACCATGTAGGGAATCATTGCTACCTCCCCATGTATGTTACAAACTATGGACTTGCAGAGAGACTGAAGAGGAACCGAAGCCGTTAGCTCGGCGGCAGAGGCGAGACACGGGCTCAGCGGTGATGGGCCGCCGCCGCCGCCCCCGCCGGGGGCGGCGGAGGCTTGCACTGGTAGCACTTGGCGAAGAGCCCGAACGTGTCGACCTGCTTGACGAAGTTGCGCATGCTGGCCCACCCGCCAAACCCGAACCCCACGACCAGGACCCACCCGACCACGAACGCGTTGAACACGTACATCGCGGTCCAGCTCGGCATGAAGAAGGGCGGCTTCTCCACCGCATTCTGCAATCACATGACGGAGCGAGAAAGAGATTAAAGGTCGACCCTCAAACCCGATCGACGTAAATCTCGGCGATGTACATCGCGACCGATCACAATCCGGTACTAACTACCGAACTCCGAACCGGGGACCGGGATCTAATTTTGGTCGAAATTCCATCAATATTGCTTCGGATGCCTCCAATGAGAATCTTGTTAGATGACCTACCCCGAGGTTGTAGTTTTCAAAAAACGGTACGAGACCAAAAGCTCGACAAAAGCAAGAAACACCCCCACCTCGTAGATAAAAAACATTATCATTTATAACGAACTTTATTCATTAGGAATACAACAAAAATTCGAGAGAAGTTTTGGAAATTCTTTGTCCTGAAAAGGACGTCCCACCTATCTCGAATGCGTTCTCCCAAGTGTTTCCCCAAAGTCCGTTTCTTAAATGCTTATCTTTTGTGCCTCCAGTGGTCCCTCTCCCTCGCTCTCAAAGCACGTACGTACCGCTATCGCTCGATGTCTGCACTTTTGATACCCCCATTCATCGACTTTGAGAGAGCACCCCTCTACCCTAAGGACTACTTTGGGCATCTGAAGTTAATTAACTAGCTTGCTCGATGGCCCCCCATGCACTGTTCTTGACGAATTGATTGGCGCGATTGAAAGTTTAACTTTCGGGATTAAAGAATCCGAGACGATTTAGAGGGCGCGATTTGGGAGTTTACCTGGCGAGCGGAGGCCGTCCGGTATGTGAGCATGTGGGCGAGGGAGGGGATGATGTAGACGGTGAAGCTGACCAGGAGGGCGCCGACGGCGGAGTTGATGGGGCCGAAGAAGGGGAAGATGATGGCGAGGAACCAGATGGGTATGACCACGGGCAGCCGGGCGAGCGCCCTCAGGCATATGCTCTTCGTGTCGTGCATCCCGATCACCTTCTCCCACACGAAGTAGAGCGGCGTGCACGCGAACCCGAACGTGATGAACTGCCCCCCCCCGGAAAAAAGCATACGGGACATAATGTTTCACATCTCGCTATCGTATCTAACAACCTCACAATCAGTAAAGACGCGACGGACTCGTCGTACGTGTGCATACCTGATGAATGAGCATCAAGATGACGGCGGCGTCGCGGAACCCGGTCTTCGGGAGGAGGGAGAAGGCGTTGGAGTGGTTGAGGAGCTGGTCGCCGAAGGCCCAGTAGACGGCGGTGGCCGACGGGATGGTCAGCGTGAAGACGTAGAGCGTGGCGATCAGGTAAATGTACTTGAACTTCTGGGGCTTCCACATCGCATGCATGATCTCCCTGCGAAACCCAATTTCCGTTCCACCATAAAATTTCGCCATTAACATATCCTCATAAAACAAAAAATAAAGATAAAATAATAATAATAATAATAATAAGTCCCATTTTATTTCAAAATAAGGACCTTTTTTTTGCCCCTTTTACTGTTACATTCACCCGGGCCGTAACCAGGCTCCGCTAAAAGACAAAGTTCTTTTCACCGCTCGGTGAAAAAACGGGGGCGAAAGGGTCAAAAAAAGAGGAGAAGCTGTTCGAGATGCTAATGATTCGTGTTGGCTTAGGGCGAACCAAAAGTTAGATTTTTGCATGATTACTAATTTTCTCTTTTCTTTTTCAATTCCGGATTAGCCGGCAAAAGCTGCA